CGCCCTCTAGCCGCTGGAATACTGACCGCAGCGTGGCAAGTGTTCAGCCCAGGTGCGTGAAGGATCACCAAGTCGTCAAGGTAAGCTGTGCAATTCGGTATGTCTTTAAACACGATGTTAACTAGGCGTTGGAACGTGGCGGGTGCATTACACATCCCAAATGGCATGACTGTGTATTGCACAAAGTTGTCTGGTGTCACAAAAGCCGATATATTAGACGCTCTTTTCGGTTAAAGGCACCTGCCAGTAACCTTTATGCAAGTCCAGTTTACTCACGTATGCTGCGGAGCCAATACGATCGATGCAATCCTCCAAACGGGGGTAATGGAAACGAATCCGGCACAGTCACAGAGTTGATTTTTCGGTAGTCTGTGCACAAGCGGGACGTACCGTCTGGCTTGGGGACTAGTATGCACGGAGAACTCCATGGGCTGTAGCTGGGTTTTGCCATTCCATTCTGTAACAAGTAATCCACCTCACTCTTCATTATTTCTCGCTTACGTGCGTTTACCCGATACGGGTGCTGGCGAATAGGTCGAGTGTTTCCAACGTCTACGTCGTGCTCCAAAACAGAGGTGCGGCTTGGTACTTCGCCGATACTTTGAGAAAGGAATGTATTAGTGCGGTGAGTTCTTCAGTTTGTCTCTGGTCTAAATGTCCCATTAGGGACGGTAGCTTTTGTAGCATTTCCGGGTTGTTGAGTCGTTTACACTGTTGTAATGTATTGCGTGTTACTAATCCATCCTCGTCGTTTTCCTTCCAGTCCACCTCAGGTATGGGCACCACTAGTGCCACGCTGGTGAATGTGGGCAGAAACCAGTCCTTGGGGAGAAATGTCAGGAGTGTCACATTTACGGTAAGACTTCAGCATGTTGATATGACACAGATGGGAGGAGCGTCTGCGGTCCGGGGTTTTAATTATATAGTTAGTGTCACTTATTTTTTTTTCGACAATATAAGGCCCAGTAAACCTGGCGGAGAGAGACGAACCAGGTACGGGTAGGAGAACCAGTACCTGCTCCCCTGGCACAAAAGAACGGTCCTTTGTCTTTTCTGTCATACTGCACCTTCATGCGTTCCTGAGAGGTAGAGAGGGACTCTCGGGCCAATGAGCACGCCATATGCAGCCTCTCCCGCATCTCATTAACATAGTCCAGCACATTTCGAGGGGTGCTACTGGACACTTCAGTTAACATGTGCTCCTTCAGAACTTTCATCGGACCTCGTGGTGTATGACCGAACACCAAATCAGCAGGACTGAATCCTAATGATTCCTGGATAGTTTCTCTGACAGCGAACAGAACAAAGGGGACTCCCTCGTCCCAACTAGTATTTGTCTCCACACAGTATTTCTTTAGCATCGTCTTCAAGGTCTGGTGCCAGCGCTCTAGAGCCCCCTGGCTCTCTGGATGGTACGCGCTGGAGACCTGATGTGTGATAGACAGATTCTTCATTGTAGCGGCGAACAATTGGACATGAAGTTAGTACCTTGGTCAGTTTGGATCACTTTCGGGAGTCCAAAGGTGGAGAAGAACTTCACCAGGGCTTTGATGATGGTTTTTGTCGTTATTGTTCGGAGGGGGACGGCTTCTGGGTACCGTGTAGCACTGCACATGATAGTGAGAAGGTACTGGTTACCTGCTCGTGTTTTTGGTAGTGGGCCCACACAGTCCACTATCACTCGGATCGAATGGCTCTCCAATCACAAGGAATTGGATGAAGTGGCACAGGAGGAACAGGTTGGTTCACCTTCCCTATTAGTTGGCACACATGACAGGTTCTGCAGTATTTGACAACATCAGATTTTAAACCTGGCCAGAAAAAGTACCTGAGAATTCGGTTGTATGTTTTTGTTATCCCTAGATGTCCTGCCCATCCAGGGTCATGAGCCAATGACAGTATCTGCGGTCGTAGCGGCGCAGGAACAACTACCTGCTGAACAACATCCCAGTCCTCACCGGTTTGTGTGGTGTCCAACTGCGCATTAGAACTCCCTCCTCCACTGAATAGGCAGCACCCTGCAGGCCCGTTTCTCCAGGGGCCTCTATTGCATCAAAACACTTCCTCAGACTGGTATCCGCTTTCTGCCACTCAATTAGCTTTTCCGCTGCTAAGGATGGGAGAACGTCCTGTAGCTGAAGGGCGCAGACGTCTTCCCTCATTTTAGGCAGTGTGGCCGGTACCTCAGGCTTTGGTTCCTCACCCCTAACCTGCTCAAAGTACAGAATCCGACAAATCCACCAACTCCCCTTCCTTCCTGGACTGTGCTCTTGTTAGGACACAAGCCGGGAAAAACATGTGGAAACTGTTGAACAATAAACACATCTGCATCTTTTGTTTCAGGTGTTTCTATTACCTCTAAGACCCGGAGATACCCTACCCCCAGCGATGTCGTTACCCAACAACAGAGTTACCCCCTCCACCGGTAACTTGGGCACGACGCCAACCCGGAAACGTCCTGAAATGAGCTCTGACTTTAAATGCAACCAGTGTAACGGTACACAAATGGGGTTAGTTTCAATCCCACACATGAGAACGTTAGATCCACAGTAATTAAGGTCAGACCAGGGCAACGCGTCTTTACAGATTACGGATTGCGCTGCACCGGTGTCTCGTAAGATTCTGACTAAAGTGTGGTCCTCTGGTTCTCCAGTGATTGAAACACTCCAACTGACACAAATGGAGCATACCTAGGATCCGGCTCAGCTCCAACCATCTCGTCCGCAGCAACAGCGTCTAGGCGAGGAGTAGATTGGATAAGACCGACACTTTCTTGTTGCGGGGTGGTGACTGAGAGGTCTTTGCTTTCAGAACTGCACAATCTGAAATCAATGGCCCACTTCATGACAGTAAAAACACTCTCTTTTTTCTGTAGTCTTCTGGCGGGGTCAGGCGAAGACCGGCGTGCCCGAGACGCCGATGGGACGACAGTATGAGACCCACTAAACACAGTTTTGTGGGTCAGAGCATATTCGTCTGCCATAACAGCGGCCTGGGTCAACGTCTCTAACCTTCCGCTCATTCAAGTACACCAACTAGGTGCTCAGATAAATGGTTCTTGAATTCTTCTAATAAAACGAGCTCTTTCAGATCCAACAAAGTTGTTACCTTGCTCGCTGCACACCAGCGCTCAAATAGAGACTCCTTGTCCCTACCAAACTCCACGAATGTACGACTCCCCACTTTCTTATGAGACCTGAAGCGTTGCCTGTAGCCTCAGGTACTAGCTCGTAGGCTCTAAGCACTGTTGCTTTAACCACATCATACTGCAAACTGTCTTCCAGGGAAGCGCTGCCCACCACTTCCTGGCCCTTTCCAGACAGCTTGCACTGCCGGAGAAGAGGCCACACTCCTTTGGCCACTGCAGAGCGACGGCTACACGCTCAAATGCTACGAAGTAGCGGTCTACTTCGGTCTCCCTAAACGGTGGAACCATAGGAACGTTTTGGCTCACCTTAAATGGAGGCGGCTCACGTGGACCCGAGGGTGAGACGCCTACACCTGCCTCGAGCTCCATCTGCCTAATTTTAATTCTGACCTCCTTATCTGCTTCTATTTTTCGGAGTTCCAACTCAAAATCATATCTTTTTCTCTCCTCTCTGTCTTTCAGTTCTGCCTGAAGATGGGCCATTTGTTTACGCAGCCTGTCTACCTCCCCTACCTCAGATCCACCTGCCACTGGGGAAAACGGAAGAAACTTTGGCAGCGTCCAAGGAGCTGGAGCCTCTTTACGCTCCACACTGTCCACCGGCGATGCGGGAGAGGAGACGCCGGCGGCCCCTTCCTCTGCACACTCTACGAGATCCTCCTCGTCCAGGGACATGACGCCTGCCTGTTCTAGGTCCAATAAATAATGCTTAATTTGTTCAACGATCTCAGCCTTTAAAGCCTGTTCACTGATCCGTAGCTTGTAGTGTTCAGCTATCTTTTTTAACTCTGCCTTGCGCATTCTCGTTAAGAGACCTAACGTAGGGTTCTCCAAGAAAGTTGCTAGGGTGAGGGTAGCCATCTGTACTCAAATTTTTATTTTTTTCACCTCAGCAACACGACACAACCTGACTAACCAGTACCCAGTCTAGCTACACGACTCCGCTTACACCACGCCGTACATGCCCCAATCACTGACCACAAGAAGATCCTCTCAGCAGCAGCGGGCCAACAGAGCATCCCGGACGAGCCCCCATTTGTTACGCACCAGCTCCCTAGAAGGGAGGGGACCGTTGACACGCCGCTGCTCAAGACCCAAGTGTATCACTACAAGGGGCATGTGGGGGTCGTGGTGCAAGGAGGACGCAAGAGTTTTACCGTGTATAGATTACTTTATTTATTCTAATCACACGGATTGCAGGGAGAAGGGCTGGGCAGAACCAAAGCAATGAAACAAACAAAAAATACACAGGCTAGTTCCTATATATATAGTGCCGTAGCTTTGGCACGCTAACCAAAAATACAGGTGGTGGTCTGCCCAGGTCTAGCTAGTGTTCCTAGACAGAGACTCACTGCGGGTGATGTATGCCCATGGGCCTCTAGTCTAGCCACAACTGCTCCCTTCCCCCTGGGACAAAAAAAGGAAAAGAAGAACACGGTAGTTAGAAAAATAAACGGATGTACTAATAATGAAAACAGCTATCAACAACTAAAACACAGACAGAACAGTTAATCCACCCCAAATGCAAAACAAAGGTCTGACCATCCAGTATCACCCATGTGCCCCCCCCCAGGGGCCTGAAGACTGTGGCCTTTTGAGCTCCAACCAGGTGCAGCCACTAACGATCCTGAGGTCCTCAGCCAATCAGGGGGGGGGCGGGGGCTGGTAACTCCTGTCAATTTGAGAGAAGGGAGATGCACACACACACACAAGCAACCTTAACAAACAAAAATGCACATACACACATACAAGGCCCTGCTGTGGAACACAGGGCCGTAACACGCCCCCCCCCACAACAGCTACAAACACCAGTTTGTACATGTACAGTACACTTTTCATTTCTGCTTTACCCTTACTGGTAAGCCCGGGATAGAGTGTCAGCAACCACGTTTGCAGACCCCTTTACGTGTGATATGGCCAAGTTGTACCCCTGCACAATCAGAGCCGACGCCATGAGGCGGCGGTTCTGGTTGTACATTTGCCTGAGAAAGGTAAGAGGGTTATGGTCAGTGAAGACCATAACAGGGACGTTACTTGAGCCAACGTAGACTTCAAAGAACTGGAGTGCTAAAAGTAAGGCAAGTGTCTCTTGCTCAATTGTCGAATACCGTTTTTGACACTGACTGAATTTTTTGGAAAAGAAGCTAATTGGACGATCCACACCATCGTCACCCTCCTGTAGTAGGACTGCACCTGCCCCCACGATACAGGCATCAATTTCTAGTTTAAACGGTTTGTCGAAGTCGGGGGCAGCTAATACCGGAGCATTGCATAGCAATGCTTTCGCTGACTCAAACGCGGAGGTACACTCTGGTGACCACTTGAATGTTACCTTCGGGCTCAGCAAGGATGTTAGGGAGGATACTACGGTCGAGAAGTTCCTGCAGAATGTTCTGTAGTATCCCACCATTCCCAGAAAACGTCGCAGCTGCCGGCGAGTGTTCGGAGTGGGAAAGTTAGCTATTGCCTCAACTTTGCTGGCAATGGGTCGCACTTGTCCACGTCCCACCTGCTTCCCAAGGTAAGTTACTGTAGCTTTTCCGAATTCGCACTTGGCTAGATTGAGCGTCAATGAAGCGCCCTCTAGCCGCTGGAATACTGACCGCAGCGTGGCAAGGTGTTCAGCCCAGGTGCGTGAATGGATCACCAAGTCGTCAAGGTAAGCTGTGCAATTCGGTATGTCTTTAAACACGATGTTAACTAGGCGTTGGAACGTGGCGGGTGCATTACACATCCCAAATGGCATGACTGTGTATTGCACAAAGTTGTCTGGTGTCACAAAAGCCGATATATTAGACGCTCTTTCGGTTAAAGGCACCTGCCAGTAACCTTTATGCAAGTCCAGTTTACTCACGTATGCTGCGGAGCCAATACGATCGATGCAATCCTCCAAACGGGGTAATGGAAACGAATCCGGCACAGTCACAGAGTTGATTTTTCGGTAGTCTGTGCACAAGCGGGACGTACCGTCTGGCTTGGGGACTAGTATGCACGGAGAACTCCATGGGCTGTAGCTGGGTTTTGCCATTCCATTCTGTAACAAGTAATCCACCTCACTCTTCATTATTTCTCGCTTACGTGCGTTTACCCGATACGGGTGCTGGCGAATAGGTCGAGTGTTTCCAACGTCTACGTCGTGCTCCAAAACAGAGGTGCGGCTTGGTACTTCGCCGAATACTTTGAGAAAGGAATGTATTAGTGCGGTGAGTTCTTCAGTTTGTCTCTGGTCTAAATGTCCCATTAGGGACGGTAGCTTTTGTAGCATTTCCGGGTTGTTGAGTCGTTTACACTGTTGTAATGTATTGCGTGTTACTAATCCATCCTCGTCGTTTTCCTTCCAGTCCACCTCAGGTATGGGCACCACTAGTGCCACGCTGGTGAATGTGGGCAGAACCAGTCCTTGGGGAGAAATGTCAGGAGTGTCACATTTACGGTAAGACTTCAGCATGTTGATATGACACAGATGGGAGGAGCGTCTGCGGTCCGGGGTTTTAATTATATAGTTAGTGTCACTTATTTTTTTTTCGACAATATAAGGCCCAGTAAACCTGGCGGAGAGAGACGAACCAGGTACGGGTAGGAGAACCAGTACCTGCTCCCCTGGCACAAAAGAACGGTCCTTTGTCTTTCTGTCATACTGCACCTTCATGCGTTCCTGAGAGGTAGAGAGGGACTCTCGGGCCAATGAGCACGCCATATGCAGCCTCTCCCGCATCTCATTAACATAGTCCAGCACATTTCGAGGGGTGCTACTGGACACTTCAGTTAACATGTGCTCCTTCAGAACTTTCATCGGACCTCGTGGTGTATGACCGAACACCAAATCAGCAGGACTGAATCCTAATGATTCCTGGATAGTTTCTCTGACAGCGAACAGAACAAAGGGGACTCCCTCGTCCCAACTAGTATTTGTCTCCACACAGTATTTCTTTAGCATCGTCTTCAAGGTCTGGTGCCAGCGCTCTAGAGCCCCCTGGCTCTCTGGATGGTACGCGCTGGAGACCTGATGTGTGATAGACAGATTCTTCATTGTAGCGGCGAACAATTTGGACATGAAGTTAGTACCTTGGTCAGTTTGGATCACTTTCGGGAGTCCAAAGGTGGAGAAGAACTTCACCAGGGCTTTGATGATGGTTTTTGTCGTTATTGTTCGGAGGGGGACGGCTTCTGGGTACCGTGTAGCACTGCACATGATAGTGAGAAGGTACTGGTTACCTGCTCGTGTTTTTGGTAGTGGGCCCACACAGTCCACTATCACTCGGTCGAATGGCTCTCCAATCACAGGAATTGGATGAAGTGGCACAGGAGGAACAGGTTGGTTCACCTTCCCTATTAGTTGGCACACATGACAGGTTCTGCAGTATTTGACAACATCAGATTTTAAACCTGGCCAGAAAAAGTACCTGAGAATTCGGTTGTATGTTTTTGTTATCCCTAGATGTCCTGCCCATCCAGGGTCATGAGCCAATGACAGTATCTGCGGTCGTAGCGGCGCAGGAACAACTACCTGCTGAACAACATCCCAGTCCTCACCGGTTTTGTGTGGTGTCCAACTGCGCATTAGAACTCCCTCCTCCACTGAATAGGCAGCACCCTGCAGGCCCGTTTCTCCAGGGGCCTCTATTGCATCAAAACACTTCCTCAGACTGGTATCCGCTTTCTGCCACTCAATTAGCTTTTCCGCTGCTAAGGATGGGAGAACGTCCTGTAGCTGAAGGGCGCAGACGTCTTCCCTCATTTTAGGCAGTGTGGCCGGTACCTCAGGCTTTGGTTCCTCACCCCTAACCTGCTCAAAGACAGAATCCGACAAATCCACCAACTCCCCTTCCTTCCTGGACTGTGCTCTTGTTAGGACACAAGCCGGGAAAACATGTGGAAACTGTTGAACAATAAACACATCTGCATCTTTTGTTTCAGGTGTTTCTATTACCTCTAAGACCGGAGATACCCTACCCCCAGCGATGTCGTTACCCAACAACAGAGTTACCCCCTCCACCGGTAACTTGGGCACGACGCCAACCCGGAAACGTCCTGAAATGAGCTCTGACTTTAAATGCAACCAGTGTAACGGTACACAAATGGGGTTAGTTTCAATCCCACACATGAGAACGTTAGATCCACAGTAATTAAGGTCAGACCAGGGCAACGCGTCTTTACAGATTACGGATTGCGCTGCACCGGTGTCTCGTAAGATTCTGACTAAAGTGTGGTCCTCTGGTTCTCCAGTGATTGAAACACTCCCAACTGACACAAATGGAGCATACCTAGGATCCGGCTCAGCTCCAACCATCTCGTCCGCAGCAACAGCGTCTAGGCGAGGAGTAGATTGGATAAGACCGACACTTTTCTTGTTGCGGGGTGGTGACTGAGAGGTCTTTGCTTTCAGAACTGCACAATCTGAAATCAAATGGCCCACTTCATGACAGTAAAAACACTCTCTTTTTTCTGTAAGTCTTCTGGCGGGGTCAGGCGAAGACCGGCGTGCCCGAGACGCCGATGGGACGACAGTATGAGACCCACTAAACACAGTTTTGTGGGTCAGAGCATATTCGTCTGCCATAACAGCGGCCTGGGTCAACGTCTCTACCTTCCGCTCATTCAAGTACACCACTAGGTGCTCAGATAAATGGTTCTTGAATTCTTCTAATAAAACGAGCTCTTTCAGATCCAACAAAGTTGTTACCTTGCTCGCTGCACACCAGCGCTCAAATAGAGACTCCTTGTCCCTACCAAACTCCACGAATGTACGACTCCCCACTTTCTTATGAGACCTGAAGCGTTGCCTGTAGGCCTCAGGTACTAGCTCGTAGGCTCTAAGCACTGTTGCTTTAACCACATCATACTGCAAACTGTCTTCCAGGGAAAGCGCTGCCACCACTTCCTGGCCCTTTCCAGACAGCTTGCACTGCAGGAGAAGAGGCCACACCTCCTTTGGCCACTGCAGAGCGACGGCTACACGCTCAAATGCTACGAAGTAGCGGTCTACTTCGGTCTCCCTAAACGGTGGAACCATAGGAACGTTTTGGCTCACCTTAAATGGAGGCGGCTCACGTGGACCCGAGGGTGAGACGCCTACACCTGCCTCGAGCTCCATCTGCCTAATTTTAATTCTGACCTCCTTATCTGCTTCTATTTTTCGGAGTTCCAACTCAAAATCATATCTTTTTCTCTCCTCTCTGTCTTTCAGTTCTGCCTGAAGATGGGCCATTTGTTTACGCAGCCTGTCTACCTCCCCTACCTCAGATCCACCTGCCACTGGGGAAAACGGAAGAAACTTTGGCAGCGTCCAAGGAGCTGGAGCCTCTTTACGCTCCACACTGTCCACCGGCGATGCGGGAGAGGAGACGCCGGCGGCCCCTTCCTCTGCACACTCTACGAGATCCTCCTCGTCCAGGGACATGACGCCTGCCTGTTCTAGGTCCAATAAATAATGCTTAATTTGTTCAACGATCTCAGCCTTTAAAGCCTGTTCACTGATCCGTAGCTTGTAGTGTTCAGCTATCTTTTTTAACTCTGCCTTGCGCATTCTCGTTAAGAGACCTAACGTAGGGTTCTCCAAGAAAGTTGCTAGGGTGAGGGTAGCCATCTGTACTCAAATTTTTATTTTTTTCACCTCAGCAACACGACACAACCTGACTAACCAGTACCCAGTCTAGCTACACGACTCCGCTTACACCACGCCGTACATGCCCCAATCACTGACCACAAGAAGATCCTCTCAGCAGCAGCGGGCCAACAGAGCATCCCGGACGAGCCCCCATTTGTTACGCACCAGCTCCCTAGAAGGGAGGGGACCGTTGACACGCCGCTGCTCAAGACCCAAGTGTATCACTACAAGGGGCATGTGGGGGTCGTGGTGCAAGGAGGACGCAAGAGTTTTACCGTGTATAGATTACTTTATTTATTCTAATCACACGGATTGCAGGGAGAAGGGCTGGGCAGAACCAAAGCAATGAAACAAACAAAAAATACACAGGCTAGTTCCTATATATATAGTGCCGTAGCTTTGGCACGCTAACCAAAAATACAGGTGGTGGTCTGCCCAGGTCTAGCTAGTGTTCCTAGACAGAGACTCACTGCGGGTGATGTATGCCCATGGGCCTCTAGTCTAGCCACAACGGCTCCCTTCCCCCTGGGACAAAAAAAGGAAAAGAAGAACACGGTAGTTAGAAAAATAAACGGATGTACTAATAATGAAAACAGCTATCAACAACTAAAACACAGACAGAACAGTTAATCCACCCCAAATGCAAAACAAAGGTCTGACCATCCAGTATCACCCATGTGGCCCCCCCAGGGGCCTGAAGACTGTGGCCTTTTGAGCTCCAACCAGGTGCAGCCACTAACGATCCTGAGGTCCTCAGCCAATCAGGGGGGGTGAGCTATTTTGGACTTAAATTCACAGGAGAAGGCCTTAAGCCTGACCCTTGCAAGGTCAAGGCAATTAAAGAAATGGCTCCCCCATGCAGCAAAGCAGAGCTGGAGACCATACCGGGCATGGTCACCTACCTTTCCAAGTTTGTACCCAGACTTTCAGAGACAATTGCCCCACTCAGACAACTGCTGAAAGAAAACAGTGAATTCATGTGGGACTCAAATCAAGACGTTGCATTCCAACAGATGAAAGACCTGATAACACAAGAGCCTGGCCATTTTGCTTCAGGGAGAGAAACCACTCGCATACGCATCAAAGACACTAAATGAGACAGAGGAAAATTACGCTCAGATTGAAAAGGAGCTCTACGCAGTGCTCTTTGGATGCAGACGTTTTCATCAATATCTGTACGGACAACAGGGGATCGTCGAGTCAGCCCACAAATCGCTGGAGTCAATCATGCTGAAACTCAGGGCAGCCGCACCGCCGCGCTCACAATGCATGATACTGCAACTACAAAGGTACGACATCACCATTACACACAAGCCTGGAAAGCAAATCCCTGTCACAGACACTCTGTCCAGAAAGCCAAGAGAGTGTCAAACAACTCTGTGAGTGAAGGCATGAGTGAAGGATTTACAAATCCACACAGTGATAAGCAGTGCACCAGTGAGTGATTGGAAAATGGCAGAAATCAAAGCCGCCGCAAGCAGCACAAGATGAGAAACTGTCAATGTTGAGACAAGTTAGCAGCAGGATGGCCTGAGTCAAAAATAAGGTGTCCGCTTTCCGTTTCTGAGTATTGGAACCATTGGGACGAGATATTAGAGACAAACGGAATCCTTCTCAAAGGTGAGAAGATTATTGTGCCACACTCACTCAGAGCTGAAATGTTGTCACGCATACACACAGGACACTTGGGGATGGAAAAGTATAAGCAGCGAGCAAGAGCAACGCTCTTGAGCTCCAACACAAAGGAACCAATGCTCTTGCATCCGGGATCAACCTTGGCAAACAGTAGCCACAGATTTGTTCACCTGGCACAGTACTGACTTTATAGTTTTCGTAGACTATTATAGCAGGTACTTTGAGGTAGAAAAAATCAGCAGCCTCACATCCGCAACTGTCATCAAAAAGCTTAAATCCATGTTCGCCAGATTTGGAATACCCCAGACAGTAATCAGTGACAACGGACCTTGTTACAGTTCACAAGAATTCAGAGGTTTTGTTCACGCTTGGGACTTTGAACATACCACAAGCAGCCCGCTGTACCCACAGAGTAACGGTTTGGCTGAAAAGAGAGTTCAGACCGTCAAAGCTCTCATGGACAAAGCACACGCACAGCGTATAAATCCGTACTCTACTGGTAAAATATGTTATAACATTGTTTTGTGCTAAAGCCGTGTCTCAAGTGTCCTGTATTTGACCCTGATGTGCAAAGAGCAGCATGATACAAAATGTTGCTTTGCAGCTGTGTCCTGAGAAGGGAGGACGGTCAACTCAAGCTCATAGGAGCTTCAAAACAAAGGACTCCTGTTCATGGCCTTGGTTCATATCTTATTCGGTACGAAAGTTCCGGATCCAAGTTTTACTTTCATGTCAATTAATTATGATTTGCACCGGCCACTGAGGAGGATCTTGTGTGTGTGTGTGTGCTACCCTCATCTTCACCTGGGTTCTTTTCTCAACCTGCTTTGCAGCTTCTCTTAACTGGCACGGAGAATGTCCTCCACATGTGTATAAAAACTCAGCGTCTTTAGTGCTCAGAGACGCCATTTCCACAGAGCACCGTGATACGTGCCTGTGTATTTGACCTCCTGCTTGAAGAGTCTGTTTCATCAGACAAATCATTCTCTTCTACCAAGCTTTTATTGAAATATCCCATAACAATTTGGCGTCACAAACAGGATACGCTGACCGTCCGTCAGGCTCCAGGGGACCGTCTGGGGAAAAAGGCCTTTTCCAGGATCACCAGCTTATGATCCTGCCTCATACCTCCTTAGACAAGAGAGAAAGGACCGGCGGCAACCAGAGGAGTCCTGATTGACGTCACGTGTATCCAGCGAAAAATAATTAAATTCTACAAACTCGGGTAAGAAGTTGAAATTCCAATTATAAAGTAACAGTAAGAGTTAACATAACGGAAACGAATGACTGATCAAGTGGTTGTTATAGTCTGGGGAATACAATTATTTTTTTACATTTTGGGTGTTTTTTTCTTATAATAATTTTTTAAATATTTTTTTGAGTACATGATTCTGGGATATTTCTAATGCATCATTTTACAGCAGGGCCGAGATCCTCCTTGTGGCACTGGCACACAATGGCACTCAGTGGCACTCATTGGCTCTCATTGGCACAACTCGTGTCAAGTAAGGGGCGGGCGTCTCAACGCCAACCCGAGTGGGCGGAGCCAGGCTTTCCCGGAAACGGCCGTTGTTTGTGCGACAGGTTAGCTGCCGTAAAGATGTTTTTTTGTAGTTTTTATTTCATTGCATGTTTTTTGTATTTATTTTATTTTATTTGATACACTACATATTCCCCACCTCTATCTCAAGTCCGACGTATTCCGCTGGGGGGGTTGGGGAGGGGGGCGCAGACGGGGGTGTTCCACGGGGCGGCTCGGCGGTACAGTAGCACATCAGTGGCAAAAGTGGCAGTTCTGTGGCGTCACAACAGGAATAGTTGTTCTGAACTCGAACTACCAACTCAAGTTTCCATTTTAAATAAAACTTTTTTTCTTTACATGCAGCTCGGAGAGAAGAGCAAAAACAGCAGAAAGAAAGTTGACATTCCCCAAAGCACTTTCAGTGAGTTTGGAGAACAGTGAAGGTTAACAGAGCGTCAGATCTTCATGGATTAGAATAAAATGAATACGAAAATAATATTGATCCATTTGAAGATGTTTAAGTGAATTTACAAAAACACTTTTTTGTAATATCACATTAATAGTTCAAAACGCAGATGAAGATTTGAAGTCAGCAGTCCGTGCCTCTGTGGAGGGACAGGTGAAAAAACGAACTAAACTGAATCAATATTCATTTTTTTCTTTTTTGTTTGTATATACACTACATGTGATGTTTGCCTGCCTCCTTTAGTCTTTGTTTTTATATAGTAATCCAACCAATGTCTGTAATGGGTATACATCTGAATACTAACTATAGGATATATACACATTGTGACGCGTGGGTGTTCTAGGGGGGAATCCCGGACAGAGATGGACCACAGCAGAGTTGATAGATTCAGCTGGAGTTGAATTCACACAGAGACAGAGTCCTAGTATTGGCTCAAAAACCTACTTTGAAATAATAATAAAAAAGACACAAATAGGGGCTAATTCTAAATATATTGAAGAAATGAAATATAAATTGATTATCCCCCCAAAAAAGCAAATAATATTAAGAAGTGGATTTTGTACTACTTGTTTTATTTAAGAAGGCTGCTGCAGGCAAAATTATGAGACAGACAATTTGTGGTCTGTTTTTTTTTAAGTGTGAAGTTAATGAAATTAATGACGTAAATGTTTGTTTGTGAATTAATTTCTAAGTACGGTTGTATAAATAGAGGTGCTAGGAAGTCTGTGTTGAATGAAGAAATTATGGATTTCTACAACAACAATTAACAACAGATAAATTAAATGTTTTAATAAATTTAGAAATGTGTGATAATAAAATGATGTTTTTTTGGAATAAACTCTAACATCTAGAGGTATTATTGTGGCAGCTTGGATATCCTCTGACAAGTGGCAATAGGAAAAATAAGTGCAAGTCCTAGAATAACAAAACAACATGCTCAACATGCTCAACAAACCCAATAAATTGAAAAACAAAACCCCACTCAAGTCAATAAAAAACAAGAAACAGCTCGGCAGCCTCTCGGATCGAGTGGCGCTTTGAGGACGCCTAACAGGTTGCCAATGAATTGCCAGAGTGGCCACTGATGTGCCACTGTGGCCACAAGTTGTGCCATTGAGTGCCACTGAATTACACACCGCCGATCCCCCCCCCCCCGTGGAACACCCCCATCTGCGCCCCCCTCCCCAACCCCCCCCCCCAGCGGAATACGTCGGACTTGAGATAGACGTGGGGAATATGTAGTGTATCAAATAAAATAAAATAAATACAAAAAACATGAAATAAAATAAAAAGAACTACAAAAAACATCTTTACGGCAGCTAACCTGTCGCACAAACAACGGCCGTTTCCGGGAAAGCCTGGCTCCGCCCACTCGGGGTGGCGTTGAGACGCCCGCCCCTTACTTGATACGAGTTGTGCCAATGAGAGCCAATGAGAGCCACTGAGAGCCACCGAGTGCCACTGCGTGCCACTGCGTGCCAGTGCCACAAGGAGGATCTCGCTGTCTCTCTCATTTCATGCGAAGGTAGATAGGATCGTGTACGATAGAGATTTCACTCGGAACAAATTCTCTGAGATCGTAACGCAGATCGCTTGACTACCCGGGTAAAATAAGACCGTTGCTATTGACCAAACGTGAATTCCACCTGTGGAATAAGAGCGTGGAAATAGCCTACGTGAATTTTATGCTGAAGCAGGTAAAACGATATCACTGTTCTTGTTAACCAAACGTGAGTTCTACTGAATTACCTTTAGAACAAGATCGTGGCAAAATCGAAGCGTGAGTTTTGAGTGGGGTTTTTGCAAAGTTTTTCCTTGAGTAAAGAAACTAAGCGTTACGGTGACGACTGTATTGTAATAAGTAAACCGGTAGGGTCCACCAGTAAAAGATGGGTGGCCAGTCCGCAAAACACACGGAACGTCGGGTCCGATTGTGGCAATGATGCAGCAGAAATACGGGAAAACATGTACAGAGTGTCTCCCATACTGGACAAAAGAGTTTGGTTTTCCAGAAAACGGCTCGTTGAGTGCCGCTAAACTTAAAATGTTAAGAGGGGATTTGGAAGCAAGGTTAAAAAAATTGAAAAGTGGTAAAAAAAATCAAAGTTAAAGACTTGGAAATAATAGAGAAAAAGCAGACATGTCTGGCACAATGGGAAATGGAATGTGAATGCAAGGAGAGAAAACGAATGATGAAGAAAATGACGTGTTTAAAAACTGAAAAACCTGACATTGAAACACAGAATAATCCATGTGTGTCTTCTCCACTGTATCCATCCCTGACAGGGGCAGGCGGTCCTCTCATGAACACGTGTTATCAGATTCCTGCAGCACCTCCAGTCCAACAATCACCACCACCGTACAACCCCGATCCGGTTGGCAGACCTGTAACACGCAGTCAAACCCGGCTGGGAGACCAGGGAGGTGCAGACGTCAAATCATGCTCACCCCTCAACCCATTCAGACCTGACCCCACAGCTCAGTCCACCCCGGACTCTGCATGGTCAATCCACGACCCATCCCCCTGGAGGGGCACAGCCGGCAGAATTGTGGATTTTCTTAGTCCTAACACCACCATGGACAGTAAACTGGATGGGTCTTATATTCAAGCCCCCATGTTTCAGGTTCCAGGGCCACAGGATGGACTACCTGCCTCCCATCTGCCCACCATAAAAAATGGCGTGGCTTTTGGAAAAGAGTTCCTGACGTTATGCAAAGACATAACAGCCATCTGTGCTGCTGTGGTTGCGGCGTTCCAAGTCAACATGGCACTCATCAACAGCACGAAACAAGGTAAAGCCGAAGATGTAACATTTTACTATCAGCGTCTTGTGGCTGCCTTTCAGATTCACATCGGCCTCGAGGAGCCCACAGACATAACCAACATGACTGTGTGGGAAACTCATCTCAAGAACGCCTTCATGAACAGGCTTCTGCCAGACGTCAAAACTGCCACTGAACACTCTGTCGTGGGTCTGGAAGATGCCAGGCTCACAGAAGTGGTAAAACATGCACGACACAACTATAAAATGCATGTGGAAAATCAAATGTGTCAAGACAAACGCAGCAAGCAGACTGGGGAGAAAGCCCAGCTTGCAATGCTCCAAGCCGTAAAACAGTTGACACTGGGTGCAGAAGGAGGACGAGACCCCCACCCATCCGGAAATTGTTATGGGAGGGACCAACAGAGAGGACGAGCGTATGGAATAAATCATGGGAGAAGAGGGCGTTTTCAAGGAGGGGCCCCACAAGAAGTGCAACCCGATGAATGCTTCCTCTGTGGCAAAACAGGACATTGGTACAAAGACTGCCCCTACCGTCCAAACCAGGTACGTCAGCCACATGGACGACAGCGCCACGCCGGGAGTGACAGAGGGGGTCAACAATTTGGCACTTCAGACTGATTGTGCGATGGGGAGGGAGAGCGCATGTGTGAAGGAGGACCGACTGCTTCCTCTCCAAAACAGGGAAGTGAAACACACCACACACACACAATGCTGCAACGAAGACCTGCTTCCTCGCACGCACACCCACATACACACGCACACACAATGCTGCAACGAAGACCTGCTTCCTCGCACGCACACTGCAGAACAACATGCTGTTTTGCTCAGCATCATTTCTCACTTAGAGCAACAGCAACAGAATACATCCACACCACCACCACTCACGTATGCTATGTTTTCATCAGATGCATACAAGGATATGCCAACTACAAGAGTAATTGTGGACGGGAAAGAATTGACGTTTTTAGTAGACTCCGGAGCTACTCATTCAGTAATTCAAGAAAAACATTTTCCAAATCAAAAAATGAGTGGGCGGTATGTATATTCTCAAGGGGCTTCAGGTTTGACTGTGACAGAAAAATTTACTGCACCTATGACGAGTGTACACTCTGACGAGACTGACCTAAACCCTGACATAAAAGTAAAACATTCTTTTTTACACTCTTCACTCTGTCCCATAAATCTGATGGGCAGAGACTTGATGTGTACATATGGTATTTGTTTGACGTCATCTCCAGACGGCCTTAAAGTGGTTCGGCGTAGAGCCGCACTCCAAATGGTGCAAAAGGCTCCCTCTAATCCTCTTTTTGTGTATCAGTGGTGGATCCCGATCGATGATGCTCGGAGGCTGAGCCAGGCTGGTGAAGCACGGGTTTCTCCTCATGCAGACGTATGAACCCTGAACACCTGCATTGCACAACATGTGTCTCAGAGGGTCCAGACGGCTCTTTTGAAGAGACATTTTTTGAGGCCCTCAATGATGCAATTGCCTGTTCTACTTTGTACTGGTCAACTTGTAAATCTGCTGTGTCTGTTTCTCTGTCTCCCACACAGAAAGAGCTGTTTCAAGTTCCCGGCTCCTATCCCCATGTCTCACTGTCTATCTCACTGTTTATGAGCACAACGACAAAGTTGAAACATTTTTAACTCCCCACATCGATTTCTCTCGCTCTTGCTTCTGTTCCACAGACACTCTGGGTGGCACACAAATATGACGTAGGCTTGATCAACAACTGCCAACCGCTCGTCATCACTCCACGTTCTGACTTCCGCCCCCACAAACACCAGTGACCCCTGCGACAAGAGGCCATTAAGCCATTGACGGTATCACACCTGTATTCAATTCGCTTGCTTAAGAGCTTAACGCTCTCTCCCGGCTCTGCACTTCTGCAGTTGTTTGATTGCAGCTCCAAATCAGGCACAGTGTCAGACAGACACGCTTAAGCTACTCAAACATTTAGCGAAGGAAGGCCACAAGGCCAGCCTTTCTTAATTACAATTTGTGTCTCAAAATGTGCGTTTCCTGGGTCATGACCTATCTGGAGAAGGAAAAACCCTCTCCCCAAAAAGAATCTCCGCGATCGTATCAATACCGAAACCAAACACCAAAAACTAGATGATGTCCTTTTTGGGCATGTGCTCATACTGTCGATCATTTATTCCAAACTACTCATAAATGGAACAACCGTTATCAAACTTAATCCATAGGAAAAAATCTTACAGCACACAACAAAATAATCTGGACTGAAGAGGGTCTTGCGGTCTTCACACAAATGAAATGTGCTTTGCAAACTCCTCCGACTCTTGGACTGCCGAATCCGAATAAGCTATTTACTCAAACAGTAGATGAAAGACAGGGCTGCATGACTTCCGTGCTGCTACAACCCCATGGTGATAAACTCCGCAAAACTCGGCCCTGTCGCTGCAGGACTGCCACAATATTTGCGCGCTGTGGCCGCGGCACTCACAGCCTCACGTGACATAGTGGGTTACGCACCGCTCACTCTGCTCGTGGTTTCTTTAATTCTCCTCGAACAGAAATCATCTCACCTCTCTGTGGCTTGCTATTTGCGTTACCACACGTGTCTCCTGGACATGCCGAATGTCACTATAAAACGTTGTACTAACCTTAACCCTGCATCATTACTTCCTATTCCTGGGGATGGGGAGGCCCACAACTGTTTGGCTGAGCTCCAAGCTCAGTGCACTCCTCGCCCTGACCTAGTGGACACTCCACTAACTAACAGCGACATGGTAATGTATGTGGATGGATCCGCCTCCCGCGATCCTCAGCCTGGTGAAAATCGTGTTGGTTTTGCTGTTGTTTCTGAATCTGGTGTGCTGTGTTCAGGTCCTCTGCCATGTCACCTCTCAGCCCAGGCAGCCGAGCTCATCGCTCTGACCGAGGCCTGTAAACTGGCTACGGGTAAAACAGTCACAGTTCACACTGACAGTTCACCACCAACCCGCCCGTTTGAGCACATTATGATGGATTTTGTGGAGTTGTCTCGCAAGGTAAGAAACACTGTTAAGTGATGGCAGACATGTTTTCCAAGTGGGTTGAGGTTTTTCCATCAAGCAAACAAACCGCTGCAACAGTAGCTAAGGCCCTAATTTCTGAAATCATCCCTCGATGGGGCATTCCTTCTAAAATATCAAGCGACAATGGTTCTCATTTTGTCAACCAGGCCATTACAGAATTAGGCGCATACCTGGGTATTGATTTAAAAACACATACATCCAGCCTGTGGAGGGGCTGTGGAACGAGAAAATGGCCCACTAAAAACCAAATTGGCAAAATGCTGTGCAGACAAAGGTCTGCCCTGGACAAAAGCCCTGCCTCTAGTGTTGATGTACATGTGCATGAGAAAACGAACACGAAGCAACCTGAGTCCCTTCGAGATATTGTTTGGTTTTCCTCCTCATGTAGGAACCGAGGCACCGTTGGCACCACTCCCTTCAACCGCATTATGCGAACATGAAATGTTAAAATATTGTACACAACTCTCTTCTGCTCTGTCTAACATACGACAACAGGTTGCAGCCGCCCTCCCAAAACCAGCTGAAGGCCCACTCCACAAACTGAAACCTGGTGACTTTGTGGTGGTGAAAGACTTCAGAAGAAAAAACTGGAAAGCACGACGCTGGCAGGGACCATTCCAGATCCTCCTAGTCACCCAAACAGCTGTCAAGTAGCTGAGAGGGCAACTTGGGTCCACGCATCCCATTGCAAGAAGGTTCCAGATCTAGTACCAGCAGTGGGCTCAGGCGACCCTACCCCCACAACAAGTGTCAATCAACCGACACCACCGATCCAGTGACCACGGACGGGTTCACAACGGGCAGTTGACCGTCAGACACACAGTGCATTGTGATCTGTGTTGACTGTCTACAACGCGGATGCCTCACAAGAAAGAAGGTTGGCAGACTCCACATCCCAACGTGTACCTGCGGACCAACACAAGAAGAAGAACACGGTCAGGACCCCTCCACATAGACACAGTAGTCGTTTGTGCCACTACGGTTTTATCCATATTATTGCCTGCTCCAGTTTCATTATCTAAGTATCTTTTTGTGATTTTGTAATCAACTACCTAAAGAGTGGTTTACATTTGCTTGCTAAATACGAGACATGGTCTCACAAAAACATATTTTTTTTGCAATATTATGTGTGATTAAAGAATAATCAAAAGAGTGGAATGTAATGGTAAAATATGTTATAACATTGTTTTGTGCTAAAGCCGTGTCTCAAGTGTCCTGTATTTGACCCTGATGTGCAAAGAGCAGCATGATACAAAATGTTAGTTTGCAGCTGTGCTCTGAGAAGGGAGGGCGGTCGACTCGATCTCATAGAAGCTTCAAAACAAAGGACTTCTGTTCATGGCCTTGGTTCATATCTTATTCGGTACGAAAGTTCCAGATCCAAGTTTTACTTTCATGTCTTATGATTTGCAGCGGCCACTGAGGAGGATCTTGTGTGTGTGTGTGCTACCCTCAGCTTCACCTGGGTTCTTATCTCAACCTGCTTTGCAGCTTCTCGTAACTGGCACGGAGAATGTTCTTCACATGTGTATAAAAACTCAGCGTCTTTGGTGCTCGGAGACGCCATTTCCACAGATCCCCCCCCGTGGAACACCCCCATCTGCGCCCCCCTCCCCAACCCCCCCCCCAGCGGAATACGTCGGACTTGAGATAGACGTGGGGAATATGTAGTGTATCAAATAAAATAAAATAAATACAAAAAACATGAAATAAAATAAAAAGAACTACAAAAAACATCTTTACGGCAGCTAACCTGTCGCACAAACAACGGCCGTTTCCGGGAAAGCCTGGCTCCGCCCACTCGGGGTGGCGTTGAGACGCCCGCCCCTTACTTGATACGAGTTGTGCCAATGAGAGCCAATGAGAGCCACTGAGAGCCACCGAGTGCCACTGCGTGCCACTGCGTGCCAGTGCCACAAGGAGGATCTCGCTGTCTCTCTCATTTCATGCGAAGGTAGATAGGATCGTGTACGATAGAGATTTCACTCGGAACAAATTCTCTGAGATCGTAACGCAGATCGCTTGACTACCCGGGTAAAATAAGACCGTTGCTATTGACCAAACGTGAATTCCACCTGTGGAATAAGAGCGTGGAAATAGCCTACGTGAATTTTATGCTGAAGCAGGTAAAACGATATCACTGTTCTTGTTAACCAAACGTGAGTTCTACTGAATTACCTTTAGAACAAGATCGTGGCAAAATCGAAGCGTGAGTTTTGAGTGGGGTTTTTGCAAAGTTTTTCCTTGAGTAAAGAAACTAAGCGTTACGGTGACGACTGTATTGTAATAAGTAAACCGGTAGGGTCCACCAGTAAAAGATGGGTGGCCAGTCCGCAAAACACACGGAACGTCGGGTCCGATTGTGGCAATGATGCAGCAGAAATACGGGAAAACATGTACAGAGTGTCTCCCATACTGGACAAAAGAGTTTGGTTTTCCAGAAAACGGCTCGTTGAGTGCCGCTAAACTTAAAATGTTAAGAGGGGATTTGGAAGCAAGGTTAAAAAAATTGAAAAGTGGTAAAAAAAATCAAAGTTAAAGACTTGGAAATAATAGAGAAAAAGCAGACATGTCTGGCACAATGGGAAATGGAATGTGAATGCAAGGAGAGAAAACGAATGATGAAGAAAATGACGTGTTTAAAAACTGAAAAACCTGACATTGAAACACAGAATAATCCATGTGTGTCTTCTCCACTGTATCCATCCCTGACAGGGGCAGGCGGTCCTCTCATGAACACGTGTTATCAGATTCCTGCAGCACCTCCAGTCCAACAATCACCACCACCGTACAACCCCGATCCGGTTGGCAGACCTGTAACACGCAGTCAAACCCGGCTGGGAGACCAGGGAGGTGCAGACGTCAAATCATGCTCACCCCTCAACCCATTCAGACCTGACCCCACAGCTCAGTCCACCCCGGACTCTGCATGGTCAATCCACGACCCATCCCCCTGGAGGGGCACAGCCGGCAGAATTGTGGATTTTCTTAGTCCTAACACCACCATGGACAGTAAACTGGATGGGTCTTATATTCAAGCCCCCATGTTTCAGGTTCCAGGGCCACAGGATGGACTACCTGCCTCCCATCTGCCCACCATAAAAAATGGCGTGGCTTTTGGAAAAGAGTTCCTGACGTTATGCAAAGACATAACAGCCATCTGTGCTGCTGTGGTTGCGGCGTTCCAAGTCAACATGGCACTCATCAACAGCACGAAACAAGGTAAAGCCGAAGATGTAACATTTTACTATCAGCGTCTTGTGGCTGCCTTTCAGATTCACATCGGCCTCGAGGAGCCCACAGACATAACCAACATGACTGTGTGGGAAACTCATCTCAAGAACGCCTTCATGAACAGGCTTCTGCCAGACGTCAAAACTGCCACTGAACACTCTGTCGTGGGTCTGGAAGATGCCAGGCTCACAGAAGTGGTAAAACATGCACGACACAACTATAAAATGCATGTGGAAAATCAAATGTGTCAAGACAAACGCAGCAAGCAGACTGGGGAGAAAGCCCAGCTTGCAATGCTCCAAGCCGTAAAACAGTTGACACTGGGTGCAGAAGGAGGACGAGACCCCCACCCATCCGGAAATTGTTATGGGAGGGACCAACAGAGAGGACGAGCGTATGGAATAAATCATGGGAGAAGAGGGCGTTTTCAAGGAGGGGCCCCACAAGAAGTGCAACCCGATGAATGCTTCCTCTGTGGCAAAACAGGACATTGGTACAAAGACTGCCCCTACCGTCCAAACCAGGTACGTCAGCCACATGGACGACAGCGCCACGCCGGGAGTGACAGAGGGGGTCAACAATTTGGCACTTCAGACTGATTGTGCGATGGGGAGGGAGAGCGCATGTGTGAAGGAGGACCGACTGCTTCCTCTCCAAAACAGGGAAGTGAAACACACCACACACACACAATGCTGCAACGAAGACCTGCTTCCTCGCACGCACACCCACATACACACGCACACACAATGCTGCAACGAAGACCTGCTTCCTCGCACGCACACTGCAGAACAACATGCTGTTTTGCTCAGCATCATTTCTCACTTAGAGCAACAGCAACAGAATACATCCACACCACCACCACTCACGTATGCTATGTTTTCATCAGATGCATACAAGGATATGCCAACTACAAGAGTAATTGTGGACGGGAAAGAATTGACGTTTTTAGTAGACTCCGGAGCTACTCATTCAGTAATTCAAGAAAAACATTTTCCAAATCAAAAAATGAGTGGGCGGTATGTATATTCTCAAGGGGCTTCAGGTTTGACTGTGACAGAAAAATTTACTGCACCTATGACGAGTGTACACTCTGACGAGACTGACCTAAACCCTGACATAAAAGTAAAACATTCTTTTTTACACTCTTCACTCTGTCCCATAAATCTGATGGGCAGAGACTTGATGTGTACATATGGTATTTGTTTGACGTCATCTCCAGACGGCCTTAAAGTGGTTCGGCGTAGAGCCGCACTCCAAATGGTGCAAAAGGCTCCCTCTAATCCTCTTTTTGTGTATCAGTGGTGGATCCCGATCGATGATGCTCGGAGGCTGAGCCAGGCTGGTGAAGCACGGGTTTCTCCTCATGCAGACGTATGAACCCTGAACACCTGCATTGCACAACATGTGTCTCAGAGGGTCCAGACGGCTCTTTTGAAGAGACATTTTTTGAGGCCCTCAATGATGCAATTGCCTGTTCTACTTTGTACTGGTCAACTTGTAAATCTGCTGTGTCTGTTTCTCTGTCTCCCACACAGAAAGAGCTGTTTCAAGTTCCCGGCTCCTATCCCCATGTCTCACTGTCTATCTCACTGTTTATGAGCACAACGACAAAGTTGAAACATTTTTAACTCCCCACATCGATTTCTCTCGCTCTTGCTTCTGTTCCACAGACACTCTGGGTGGCACACAAATATGACGTAGGCTTGATCAACAACTGCCAACCGCTCGTCATCACTCCACGTTCTGACTTCCGCCCCCACAAACACCAGTGACCCCTGCGACAAGAGGCCATTAAGCCATTGACGGTATCACACCTGTATTCAATTCGCTTGCTTAAGAGCTTAACGCTCTCTCCCGGCTCTGCACTTCTGCAGTTGTTTGATTGCAGCTCCAAATCAGGCACAGTGTCAGACAGACACGCTTAAGCTACTCAAACATTTAGCGAAGGAAGGCCACAAGGCCAGCCTTTCTTAATTACAATTTGTGTCTCAAAATGTGCGTTTCCTGGGTCATGACCTATCTGGAGAAGGAAAAACCCTCTCCCCAAAAAGAATCTCCGCGATCGTATCAATACCGAAACCAAACACCAAAAACTAGATGATGTCCTTTTTGGGCATGTGCTCATACTGTCGATCATTTATTCCAAACTACTCATAAATGGAACAACCGTTATCAAACTTAATCCATAGGAAAAAATCTTACAGCACACAACAAAATAATCTGGACTGAAGAGGGTCTTGCGGTCTTCACACAAATGAAATGTGCTTTGCAAACTCCTCCGACTCTTGGACTGCCGAATCCGAATAAGCTATTTACTCAAACAGTAGATGAAAGACAGGGCTGCATGACTTCCGTGCTGCTACAACCCCATGGTGATAAACTCCGCAAAACTCGGCCCTGTCGCTGCAGGACTGCCACAATATTTGCGCGCTGTGGCCGCGGCACTCACAGCCTCACGTGACATAGTGGGTTACGCACCGCTCACTCTGCTCGTGGTTTCTTTAATTCTCCTCGAACAGAAATCATCTCACCTCTCTGTGGCTTGCTATTTGCGTTACCACACGTGTCTCCTGGACATGCCGAATGTCACTATAAAACGTTGTACTAACCTTAACCCTGCATCATTACTTCCTATTCCTGGGGATGGGGAGGCCCACAACTGTTTGGCTGAGCTCCAAGCTCAGTGCACTCCTCGCCCTGACCTAGTGGACACTCCACTAACTAACAGCGACATGGTAATGTATGTGGATGGATCCGCCTCCCGCGATCCTCAGCCTGGTGAAAATCGTGTTGGTTTTGCTGTTGTTTCTGAATCTGGTGTGCTGTGTTCAGGTCCTCTGCCATGTCACCTCTCAGCCCAGGCAGCCGAGCTCATCGCTCTGACCGAGGCCTGTAAACTGGCTACGGGTAAAACAGTCACAGTTCACACTGACAGTTCACCACCAACCCGCCCGTTTGAGCACATTATGATGGATTTTGTGGAGTTGTCTCGCAAGGTAAGAAACACTGTTAAGTGATGGCAGACATGTTTTCCAAGTGGGTTGAGGTTTTTCCATCAAGCAAACAAACCGCTGCAACAGTAGCTAAGGCCCTAATTTCTGAAATCATCCCTCGATGGGGCATTCCTTCTAAAATATCAAGCGACAATGGTTCTCATTTTGTCAACCAGGCCATTACAGAATTAGGCGCATACCTGGGTATTGATTTAAAAACACATACATCCAGCCTGTGGAGGGGCTGTGGAACGAGAAAATGGCCCACTAAAAACCAAATTGGCAAAATGCTGTGCAGACAAAGGTCTGCCCTGGACAAAAGCCCTGCCTCTAGTGTTGATGTACATGTGCATGAGAAAACGAACACGAAGCAACCTGAGTCCCTTCGAGATATTGTTTGGTTTTCCTCCTCATGTAGGAACCGAGGCACCGTTGGCACCACTCCCTTCAACCGCATTATGCGAACATGAAATGTTAAAATATTGTACACAACTCTCTTCTGCTCTGTCTAACATACGACAACAGGTTGCAGCCGCCCTCCCAAAACCAGCTGAAGGCCCACTCCACAAACTGAAACCTGGTGACTTTGTGGTGGTGAAAGACTTCAGAAGAAAAAACTGGAAAGCACGACGCTGGCAGGGACCATTCCAGATCCTCCTAGTCACCCAAACAGCTGTCAAGTAGCTGAGAGGGCAACTTGGGTCCACGCATCCCATTGCAAGAAGGTTCCAGATCTAGTACCAGCAGTGGGCTCAGGCGACCCTACCCCCACAACAAGTGTCAATCAACCGACACCACCGATCCAGTGACCACGGACGGGTTCACAACGGGCAGTTGACCGTCAGACACACAGTGCATTGTGATCTGTGTTGACTGTCTACAACGCGGATGCCTCACAAGAAAGAAGGTTGGCAGACTCCACATCCCAACGTGTACCTGCGGACCAACACAAGAAGAAGAACACGGTCAGGACCCCTCCACATAGACACAGTAGTCGTTTGTGCCACTACGGTTTTATCCATATTATTGCCTGCTCCAGTTTCATTATCTAAGTATCTTTTTGTGATTTTGTAATCAACTACCTAAAGAGTGGTTTACATTTGCTTGCTAAATACGAGACATGGTCTCACAAAAACATATTTTTTTTGCAATATTATGTGTGATTAAAGAATAATCAAAAGAGTGGAATGTAATGGTAAAATATGTTATAACATTGTTTTGTGCTAAAGCCGTGTCTCAAGTGTCCTGTATTTGACCCTGATGTGCAAAGAGCAGCATGATACAAAATGTTAGTTTGCAGCTGTGCTCTGAGAAGGGAGGGCGGTCGACTCGATCTCATAGAAGCTTCAAAACAAAGGACTTCTGTTCATGGCCTTGGTTCATATCTTATTCGGTACGAAAGTTCCAGATCCAAGTTTTACTTTCATGTCTTATGATTTGCAGCGGCCACTGAGGAGGATCTTGTGTGTGTGTGTGCTACCCTCAGCTTCACCTGGGTTCTTATCTCAACCTGCTTTGCAGCTTCTCGTAACTGGCACGGAGAATGTTCTTCACATGTGTATAAAAACTCAGCGTCTTTGGTGCTCGGAGACGCCATTTCCACAGATCACTGTGATACGTGCCTGTGTATTTGACCTCCTGCTTGCAAGCAATAAATGGACTTTTTGCAACTTTGATCATTCATCAAGACTCTGTTTCATCAGACAAATCATTCTCTTCTACCGAGCGTTTATTGAAATATTCCATAACAGTACCTCAGTTCACTGGAATACAGGAACACACCAGTTGATGGACTGAAGTGGCCAGCGCAGCTGCTAATGAGCAGGCGTCTGCACTCAATCCTACCAATCACAGGAAAACAACTGCAACCTGAACTTGTCAGTCGCAGCACAGTTCTCAGCAGAAAGCAACTGTGTCAACAGAGACAGAAACAATACTGCGACAGGAATGCTAGGACACTACCGGCACAACCAGAAAGAGCCATGGTCTGTTTCCAGCCATGTTATGCAAATGCGCCTAACTAGATTTTCCACCATTCCGACGTTTTTGGCCATGCTCCTAAACGCTATGTCTGATTGTCACAAAATTTTCTGTGGATCATTGTTGGCTCAATGTCCGCCTGACTTGATCTCGAGGACCTAGGATCTAAAAAATGCATTTTCCCGGAAGAAATTCCAAACTATGTGTGTAGGGATCATTTTTAAAAAACCACCATTCGGCATGGAAATTTAAGTTGTTTTAACTCAACCATACTTTATCTAATCTGCTCCATATTTCTCATATAGGATGAACTTCTCACCCTGTAGACATCCATATGATCATTTATAACCTTAGTCATAGCGCCACATGGGGGAAACAGGAAGGTTAATGTTTTTTTTATGTTTACGCCCTGCTCCTCACAGGTTATGCTCCTCTAAGGTTAATCTGATCCTTCTCAAAATGTCTCAGCAGAGAGGTAAGACCTTGATAAGTCTTCACTGTGAATATTATAAGAATCCGATTATCGGTGGCGAGAGGGTGCATGGGCAAAGTTGAGCCTTCGCCAATAACAACTAAACCTTTGTAACTACTTCACATCATCGTATTCTTTCCAATTTACACATGTTTGATGACAGTCTGGACCTGAAGAGATGTAAAGTTGAATCAAGTCATAGCGGCACCTACTCGTAACTGGAAGTCACATTTTCTAGTCTCCAGTAAAAAACCGAAGGTGGTATTTCAAGAGGCTTTTATTTTGAAATAGTACATCATAATGTCCTGGTTATGCCTGGGTGACACCTTGGGGATGTGTACTATCCGTCTGAAGTGAAATGATCATGTAACTATTGATAGTTTCCTTTTCCAATGTAATTCCAAACTGACCAGTATTCTTGTAATTGAGATTTTTGCTCATGTATGGTATTTTGAGAGGCTTTAATTTTGAAATAGTACATCATAATGTCCTGCCTATCCCTTGGTGACAGCTTGGGGATGTATACTATTAGTCTGAAGTAAAATAATCATGTAACTATTGATAGTTTCCTTTTAATCCTAACCTGAACTTGAACAAAAGTAGTCTCTTGATGGAGAATTTAAAGGAAATTGGCTCATGTATTGAATTGTGAGAGGTCTTAATTTTAGTAGAATGGAATCTCTTGCTCATCCCTGCGTGACACCATAGGGATGAGTACAGGCTGAAGTGAAATTATCATGTAACTATTGATAGTTTCCTTTTAGTTCTAACCTAAAATTGACCATAAGTAGTCCACGCACGCGGTTAACGACAACTGACTCTTGGACGCTTTGTCCGACAGGGGTTCTTGGCTGCGTTTCTAGCCGTCCGGCCGGTTCCCCGACGTACAGAGTTGCGAGGATCCGTCCAACGCTGCTCGCAGCTTTAATTAGGGTCCTCGCAACGACTAGTCGTAGAGGAACCTATTGTATTTCAAGGAATTACTATGGCCTGAGCCAACTGCAAGTCGGGCGAAAGCCCGATTGTGTTTCAAAGAATTGTTCTCATTATTTTACGATTTAATCGCACTTTTGAGGCCTTTATCATATTCAAAAAATCTTGAAATTTTGCATGTGCATCAGAAGTGCAAACATTTTTGATAATTTCGAGGTCGCGCATTTGGGTTCGATAAAATGGTTATCTAGCGCCCCCTAGGGACGTTTCCTCTGGGAGATTTTTTTCTAGTTTTACCAATTGACTTGAAATTTTTCACACAGGTGCTCTTGGACATGCTCTACAAAAAAGTAAATCATGGTATGCAAATGCGCCTAACTAGATTTTCCGCCATTTTTAATTTTATGTAAAACATGTTTTTGGCCATTTCTCATAAATGCTATGTCCGATTCTCACGAAAATTACTGTGGATGATTATTGGATCAATTTACCGCTGCCCTATCAATATCCTGTTGATATCTTCTTGTTTTAAGAAGATATGAGCTAATAAACTTCGCAAGGGGTGTGTCTTAATCTTGCAAGAGTCATAACTTCCAAATAATTTGGCCTGCCCTCACTAAACTTGTAACACATGTGAACATTGAACCCCTGAACACACCCTGATTTTTTGAAAATATTTGAAGAATAGGGGGCGCTGCAATTAGTCAATGAAAATCTGCCTTTTGGGCCTATTTTTGGCCTATTTTCGTGATTTCCTAGAGCTGTAAAAGACCGAACTCCTCCCAGGAATTAAACCCGATTCTTTTCAAATTCCAAACTATATGTGTACGGAGCACTTTTGAAAATCCCCCATTCAGCATGAAAATTGAAGTTGTTTTAACTCCACCATACTTTATCTAATCTGCTCCATATTTCTCATATAGCATGAACATCCATATGATCATTTTTAACTTAGTCATGGCGCCACCTGGGGAAAACAGGAAGTTGAATGTTTTTTTTATTTTACACCCTGCTCCTCACAGGTTTTGCTCCTCAAAGGTCAATCTGATCCCTCTCAAAATGTCCTAGCAGAGAGGTAAGACCTTAATAATGCTTTAGTGTGAAAATGATAAGAATCCGATAATCGGTGGCGAGAAGGTGCATCGGCAAAACTGATCCTTCGTCAAGAACAACTAAACCGTTGTAACTCTGGGCCTGAAGAGATGAAAAGTAGAATCAAGTCATACCGCCACCTACTGGTAACCAGAAGTCACAGTTTCTAGTATCCAGTAAAAAACCAAGGTGGTATTTAGAGAGGCTTTTATTTTGAAATAGTACATCATAATTTCCTGGTTATTGCTGGGTAACACCTTGAGGATGTGTACTATCCGTCTGAAGTGAAATGACCGTGTAACTATTGATATTTTCCTTTTCCAATGTAATTCGAAACTGACCAGATGTATTCTTGTGAATGACATTTTGGCTCATGTATGGTATTTTGAGAGGCTTTCATTTTGAAATAGTACATCAGAATGTCCTGCTTATCCCTCGGTGACACCTTGGGGATGTATACTGTTAGTCTGAGGTGAAATGACCATGTAACTATTGATAGTGTCCTTTTAATTCCGACCTGAAATGGACCATAAGTAGTCTCGTGATTTGAAGGAAATTTGCCCATGAATGGTGTTTTGAGAGCCTTTCATTTTAGAATAGTACAGTAGAATGTCTTGCTTATCCCTGGGTGACACCTTGGAGATGTGTACTATCAGTCCGAAGTTAAATGATCATGTAACTATTGATAGTTTCCTTTTAATCCTAACCTGAATTTGAACAAAAGTAATCTCTTGATGGAGAATTTAAAGGAAATTGGCTCATGTATTGTATTTTGAGAGGCTATAATTTTGCAATAGTAGATCGGAATGTCTTGCTCACGCCTGCGTGACAATTTGGGGATGTGTCCTATCAGGCTGAAGTGAAATGATCATGTAATTATTGATAGTTTCTTTTAGTTTAGTTACTTTTAACCTGAAATTGACCAAAAGTAGTCATGTGATGGAAATCAGTTTGGAATTGTAAATCAGAATATCGGGTTTATCCCAAGGTGACACCTTGGGGATGTGTATTATCATTCTGAAGTGACAAAATCATTTGACTATTGATAGTTTCCTTTTAATTGTAATCTTATATTGACCAGAAGTAGTCTTGTGAATTAGACTTTGAAGGAAGTTGGCTCATGTATGGTATTTTAAGAGTCTTTCATTTTAGAATAGTACATTAGAATTTCTTGCTTATCGCTGGGTGACACCTTTGGGATGTGTTCTATCAGTCTGAAGCGGAAATACTGTGTAACTTTTGATTTTTTCTAATCTGAAATCGACCATATGTAGTCTTGTGATAGATATTTTGGCTCATGTATGGTAATTTGAGAGGCTATAATTTTGGAATAGTAGATCGGAATGTCTTGCTCACCCCTGCGTGACAATTTGGGGATGTGTACTATCAGGCTGAAGTGAAATTATCATGTAACCATTGATAGTTTCCTTTTAGTTCTAACCTGAAATTGACCTGAAGTAGTCTCGTGAATTAGACTTTGAAGGAAGTTGGCTCATGTATGGTATTTTGAGAGCCTTTCATTTTAGAATACTACATTAGAATGTCCTGCTTATCCCTCGGTGACACCTTGGGGATGTGTACTATCCGTCTGAAGTAAAAAGATTATGTAACTATTGATGGTTTCCTTTTCCAATCTAATCCGAAATTGACCAGATGTTGTCTTGTCATGTAGAATTTGTAGGAAATTGGCTCATGTATGGTATTTTGAGAGGCTTTCTTTTTGAAATGGTAAATGTCCTGGTCATCATCTAGTAACAACTTGGGCATGTTCACTTTTAGTATAAAGTGAAATCATCACGTAACTATTTATAGAATCCTTTTAAATCAAATGGGAAATTCACCTGAAGTAGTCTCGTGAATTAGATTTGATTAGATCAACATCTTCGTACAACACTTTAACATGATGAAACGAGGCTCTGGGCCAGATTCTTTCAAAGGAGTATATATTTACTCTAGTTTCACTTCTTACTGTTGTGTGCATGCCAAAAACAATTGTGGGGAAGGTGTTTGGGTTCATTTGCTCACTGAGTGGAGTGCTGGTGATTGCCTTGCCTGTCCCTGTCATAGTCTCCAACTTCAGCCGTATCTACCACCAAAGCCAGCGGGCAGAGAAACAGCGAGCCCAGCGGGTACAGACTCTCTTACTCCTTTTTTTCTCTCTCTTCCTTTCCCTCTCTTTATCGTTATGTTGCTTCTATCTGCCTAGACAAGGGAATGACAACGGCTAAACAAATGATCTCCAGACAATTTTGTCAGCAGCTTTTCAATATGTGGGTTTCTTCCCCTACTAACTGTTTGCTAAGGCAGAATTCCCTAATCGTATGATTAAGCACGACCTCTCGACTATACTATACTGTGGCTTTTAGGGTGGACAGAGTCAGTTAGTGTGAAAGACAAACTTTCAAAAGCTAAAGGGGGGCTTCTCATGCTCTGACATTGGGGCTGCTGTCATTCCAGTGCTTCAGTATGATCGCCCTCTCTCTCACATCACATCTCTCGGCTGCAGCATTGACGTGCTTCCTCAACTCTATCTCTCTCTCTCTCTCTGTCTCTCTCTCTATCCATACAGCAGGAGGGCCGGGCGGGTGCACTTGCCTTTTGGTGGAGTGCAGCCATTACCGTGTCACACTGACTCATGACCAAGCTCTGCATGTCTGTCCAACAGGGTTTTGAGGGAAAGGAGGAAACCAAAGGCTTACTGTTTGGAGGCTTGTCTGCTTGGCCTGCATCTCGTCTAAACTCTGTTTTTTATCTTCTGTGCGTTCTGCGTGTTCTTTCTAGAGCATTCAGGTGGTAGTACAAACTAACACAAACATACCTTCCATCCCAGAGGCGTTCAGAGCTCCATCACAGTGTATGTTGTTGTTGTGAACCAGAAACCTGTGGTGTGTTTGGGGCAATCTGTTTGATCTGTGTCTAGGTGTGCCACTGCTGTTGAACTGAAATGACCTCTAATTTGACGTTTACGGTCCTTGTCACCAAATCAGCTGGCAAAATTTCATCAGTGAAAAATCATGGGGTCAGCCAGTGTCTCTATGCATCCACATCTACAGCTCACTAGGATCTCAGTAGATTGGCTGCCGCGCTACAGATCAGCATTTCAACCCTCAGCGCTCTGCGTACTCTCCACTACATCCCCAAGACTCGGGCAATAAGTCGATACAGAATCGAGTCAATGCAGAATCTTGACTTTCTCATCAACACTGTTGTTTTTTGTACTGTGTGTGTTCGAAGGCCTCCAAGGAAGCAGGAAAAGCATGAGTGACACAGGGACGAATAAAAAAAGGAGCCAAATTATTTTTATTCAGTTGAATTTTTTTGTTTTTCGATCTTTGGTTTTCACACATTGCAAGTTCTCCCAAGTTAGGATTTCTTTTTAACTAACCCAAATATCATAAATCAACCCAAATACAGGCTGGAAAAAAACTATATGTTTTACAGAAATTGTTATACATGTTATCCAAAAGAAAGACACACTAACAACTTAATACCATTATATACATACACTATATATTCTCTCGGCACAAAGAACCTATTATATTTATGGATTGTTGCTTTCATACTGTATTAGCAAAATAATAAAGAACTCTCCTTAGGCTTTGTATAAAGGATTCACAAGGTCAAGCCTCTCACCCTCTTTCATCCCGTTTCTTTCTACAGTCGCTCCTGCCTGAATGCCAAACTCGAGGAGACCTTGCTCTTGAAAAGTGACAAACCTTACATCACTCCCTGCATGGTCAGCCTATCTGCACCGGTAGTGACCTCATCGGACGGACACGGCTCCACCACCACCACCGCATACTCTCAAAGCAACATTGTCCGAGTATCTGCCTTGTCGACGTCACGCTTATTCGATCGGCTAACTGGTGCTGAGGAGAGGGACCACTGAGCATGAACCTGCCATACTCTAGAGCAGGGGTGTCAAACTCAATTGCACAGGGGGCCAAAATTCAAAACACACTTCAGGTCGCGGGCTGAACAGAATAAACATTTATTGAACACACTAAAACTAAATGTTTCTTTTAACATAAATATAAATACAAACAGCAACAGACAGGAATGTTATTCTGCAATAAATAAACTTAAACTTCAAATAACTTAAAATATCTTGCTCTCCATAAAAATATATCCAGTCAAAATTATACAAGTTAGAAATATGAACATGCTGCAAAAAAACGCCTGAAAAAATAAATAAAATTTGTGACAGCTTGTGCTTTAAGTATACATTAAAATAACAAATCAAAACATTTGACTTTCTTTGCTTTTGTCATTTTATATAAAAAAACCTTTCAAATATCACAAATGATTTTACTCTCTATAAAAATATCTCCTGTCAAAATTATACAAGTTAGAAATATGAACATGCTGCAAAACAAAACAAAACCTGGAAATATAAATAATATTTGCTTTTCATCTCCCTCCATGAATCAGAGGCCATCCGCCGTCCTCATAGTCTGCCAATGACGGCTTGTAGAAGCGGTCATATTTACGCATTTCTTCCCACAAAAGTTCTTCAATCTGATCAGTTATCTCGTAAACATTCTTCGTTTTAATAATGGCGGTGTCGGCCTATGAAAGCGGAAATGTGAGACTCCGTAAAGGACGCAGTTAGAGGACTAATCACAGCCTTGTGCGCTGCGAGGGGCCTACGTAGCTTTTGACGCAAAAAAAAGTGTCGCGTTGCTCAATAAAGTGCGTGAGACAGACTGTGTACTAAAGACATGTTTATTCTTCGCGCTCATCGCGTAACATGAATCCCCCGCACCCCACATTCATTCCCTCATCCTATTGGTCCCCAGCCTACCAACAATAGGGCTTCCTATTGGTTCAACATGAACGACAATCAACTGCCATGCGTAACATTGAACAACACCACAGGAGGTGTGAAAAAAACACGCGTATCTCTGAAAACGCAGAAGCATAAAAACTAGGCTTTACGTGCGTGTCGCATTCTCCTAGGCATCACCAGCGTTGTGTTTGTGATGAGGCGGGAAATAGCGTCCGCAGACATGTTTGGTCTGTGACTCGCTACCGAGCGACACACAGCGGGCAGCCACAACCACTGTCGCGGTCGACAGCAGCCCGCCGCGGCTCGTTTCGAGGAGCTTCCGAGATCATCAGTAAGTAATGAACAACGTCAACATGTAAACAATAAGGTATGCCCCCCTCCTCCCACATGATAGCATGGCTGCTGCTAGCTAGCGGCTCACGTAAGGGAGGGAAGGGGGCGTAGTCTAATGGCTGAAAATCATTATGGAGGCTAACGTAGCCTGAGCGTAGCCAACTAACTATCGACTGACGTTTTATTCTACCGTCGAGTTGACAGATAGCCCCCATGTTAAACACAGCTATGTTTACTGGGAAACGTGAGCAGTACCACGAGAACCGAACTGGAAAATGTCATGGTCTTGCTTTTCATGGCACTGGCGTTTTGTTAGCCTTGTGGCTAACTTTTAACTAGCCGTTTCTGTTAGCTAACGTTAGCAACGGAACCCACCGAGCGCATCTGGTTTACGTTAAAATGATGCAGGCGCATTTAGATGACAGTGCCAACTTTGAATCACCTGCGTGTTTTTGACATAGTTGTAACATCATCCTCAAACCAGAGGTGGCTGTACGCTGGTATTGGCATGCTTAATATAAGCAGCTGGCTAACGTTAGCGATATCTCACGTCATGTCTCTGGGTGTTATTACAGTTGCACACAACGACGTTACATAACTAGTCACCGGAACCCTTATGCTGGCAGATGTGATCCCGCATCAGGCTTCTAATAAAGCATCCAAATAATTGAGCAAACGTGCTCTCTTTGAACGTTTCGTTCCGAGAATCCGCTGAATTTGAACGTAATAAAGACCCTGAGGTTCTATTTAGCGTTCGTGTTTATCACGTGACGTCACACCGGCCACTCCACACGCTGGAGAGTGATACAGCATAAAGCCTAGTTTATGCTTCTGCGTTTTCAGAGAGACGCAAGGACACCCTGCGTGCCTTTTCACACCTTGCGTGCTTTCGTGCGTTGACCCATTTTTCTAGGCTTGCGTCAAAAGCGAAAAGCCTCTCGCCGATTGGTCTGCTAACTACATCCAGATTAGATTAAAGGGCTTTTTTCGGAAGAAATGCGTAAATATGACCACTTACACAAGCCGTCATTGGCGGACAAAAGCTCTTCAATCTGATAATAATTACTTTAAGATACAACATATTGGGTAGGGTATTGATGTGTGTTTGTGGCACCAAGAATAACTACAGTAAATTGACCTAAAATATCCAGTCAGATATATAATCTTCTGTACGTATTTGATTTAATGTTGTTTTCATTAGTAAAATGTTTTTCAATTTATAATTGTACCCCTCTTTTCAGACTTTTCTATGTGACGTTTGAGCATGATGAAGCTGAGAGTGCGTAAACCTCCTCAGCAGACAAACTTTGTCCGTCGAATCCAGCCGTCCCAAGCCAAGCGGAAACACCGTGACCTGGAGTCGTCTCCGGTGAGAGGTCGAGGCAAAATGCAGAAGAATGAAACAAGCCTTTTCTCCACCATAAAAAAATTAATCCGTGGAAATGCTGTCAAGGTGGGCTTCCATCAGAATTCTGAGCTTCTCTTTTCACAATTTCATTTTCTCTGCTGTGACTTATACACTGAATGAGTACACACACTTACCATATGTACTTACTTTGAATCAGTGACTCCCACATAGTAGCTAGGAGTGTTTAGAGACACAAAGTCTCAACGCAGCCAATGTTGTTTTTTTGCAAAACTTTCTCCCATTAAAGAAATTACTTTTCTTTTTCTTGCCCCCTTTCAGAAAAGTACGTCATTACCTCCGAGAATCCGTAATACGTAATAAAGACCCCAACTAGAAAATGCATTTCTTGCTGAAAATGCGTTGGAATGCTGAAAGCTAAAAGCTGAAATTAATTTTTAAAAATTGCTGAAAATAGAGAAATGGGAAAAGCTGAAAGGAATTTCAATCCATTTGTTGAAAATAAAGAAATGAGAAAAGCTAAAAATGACTATAGAAAAATTGCTAAAGTGAAAAGTATATAAAAATATTTCTGAAAATACAGACATCAGAAAAGCTGAAATGAACTTCAATAGATTTGCTGAAAATACATAGTTGAGAAAAGCTTAAATAAATTACAAGAAATTGGTGAAAATACAGAAATGGCAGAAGCTGAAATGGATTTGAAAACAATACTGGAATAAAAAATACTAAGAAATATTTATAAATATTGCTGAAAATTCAGAAATGAGCTGAGATGAGTTTAAAAAAAGAATTTGTAGTAAAATTTTTGTAGTAATTGTAATTTTGGCTGTTTTAATACAAGCAGTAGTATAAATACTGGTAGTACATTTTGTTATAGTAGTAAGAGTAGTAATATCAGTTGTAGTGTCACTCCTACTGTTAGAAATAGTATTTTTAGTAGTAGTATTAATACCAGTTGAAATACTAGTATTAGTAATGGTAGTAGCAGTAGCAGTTGAAGTAGTGCTACTAGTTGTACTAGTGATATTAGTAGTAGTTGTAGTAGTATTTGAAAGAGCAATAATTATTTTCACATAACAGATTCATTATGAGCTCCATGGTTAAGGTTCAGATAATCATTGAGGCTTTTGAGGTGTGTTGGGAGACAGAATTTTGTCCTACAAACTATTAATCGATAGGCCTCATCTCAACAATACAGTAAAATTCCCTCCATGGGGGTTATATTTTGAAATGTTGGCATTGGGGAAGGTAGAAAGAGAGCACACTAGAGAGAGCAAAGGTGAAAGAGAGGTAGGAAGAGAGAGAAAGGGAGAGAAAGTGATGAAGGGAGAGGGGGAGGAATGGAAAGAGAGGAAGAGGAAGGGAGAGAGAGAGGGGAGAATGAGGGGGGGAAAGCATATCTGCATTCTGTGACTCCACTAATCAACTATTATGGATCAGCTGTGTGACACAAACTGACCAACTGACAGACTGCAGCGTGTGTGCTGGTCTCCACGGTAACGGAGCACCTGCTCAAAGGGCAGAGACAGGACAGCGAGTTACACAGAATCCACACCTCAAACAAGTGTCCTCTAGCGCAAAACTATAACAGCTATCTAAAAAATAAGACGTTTCTACGAGACCCAAGACTCTACCGAACGCAGGGATGTTTTTTTTATGTCTAATAAATATGGCTCCTATCGCAGTTGACAAAACGTGGCACTTTTGGATTTTTTGAGAAAAATGACGGCAGATTTGTATTGGAGGCCTATGGGGCTTTTGGCAGAGGTTGTGTCACTCTAACACTCCTTAAGCCAAAACTAAAGAACTCTGGGATTCCATGAACACATTAATCCAATTAGCACAATCATGTCATCACTTTCACCTAAAATGAAGCCTCAAATTTGTATATTTGACTGTCAGGACAGAAGTTCCATATTTTTTTAACCACATTCTGACGCTGCTCTACACTCTAGCCCTTCAACTCACTCTCTAACAAATGCAATACACACTCATGTAAAACTCAGAAACGGACCAAAGAACTAGTGAAACATAATCTTCTGAAAAAAGTAGAATAGATATCAACAATCAGTTTTTTCATAAAATAGTTTAGACTTTTGTCAACATTCGAAAGTGTAAATGGTGTCTGTAGCTGAAAGATTGGCGAAGCTGAAAAATGTGAAAGTTTTAAGAAGTTTGAGAGGATTTGAAAACGAACCCCGTTAGAAAACCATGTTAAAATATTAATGATTATTGATTTATATAAATTCAATTATAAGAACTAGAAAGCTGAAAAGTCGTAGCACCCCTCTCATGAAAGAGCTGAATATTTTAATATTTGAACGGTTTTAATAGCTGAAAGTGTGAAGAAGTTGAATAAGTCGGAATAAATAATCGAAAAACAATACTTAGAATGCTTAATGCATTCTAACAATAAAGATTCAAAGAACAATACTTGGAATGCTCTGTTCTATTAGTGTGAAGGGTGCAGCAGCTCAAAGTAACATGTGCGATGAAATTAAATGCATGTCTGGTTGGCCTTAACATTCTATAAACAAAAGAAAACCATCTAATAATTTCTTTTTCCCCAAAGTTTTTATCTGGTGTAGTTCTGTGTCATTTTTAAATTACGTTCTTTCGTACAATTGTATTTTGTAATTGCTGTTATGACAAAATAATTTTACAACACGAGCAATTGCATTTCATAATAATAAATCACGTCTTTATTATTTTCCTCAGGTGGAGCAGGATATCCCTGCAAAGAGGAGTCGTGTTGATTGTAATCTTGAAAGCAATTTAATAACTTCATTGCCACAGACTGGAGGCCTTTCAAACAAAACCGTTCCCAGTGTTTGCTGGAAAAGTCCAGTTAAAGGTATCCAGAAAGAACTGTTGTAAAATAAATGTCTCAGAGAGTCAAACAAATTATATTCCTATTCCAAAAAAGAGATTGTAATCAAAGTTGCTGACTTTTTTTTTATAGACACAATGACCTGCAGCAGTAAACCCATAAAACCGAACGGTAAACTGGAAGTCCCCCATGAGGCAGCGAGCAGCCCACCATGCACCACGCTGCTCGGCACAATCTTCTCTCCAGTCTTCAACTTTTTCTCACCAGCAACTAAAACTGATAAAACAAAAGAAAACCATAAGTATTCATATTATTAAAAAGATAATAATCATTTTGGGATTTGTGAATTGACTGCGCCTGTCGTTGGTATTCAGCCACTCCTGGTTCAGAGTCCCCCGGGCAAGCGATGGAGGCGGAGGAAATCATCAAACAGCTGGACATCAAGCCGGCAGAAGAAATGCCAAGCAGCAGCCTCACGTCCACAGAGGGAACCGCTCCGTGCCACGCTGCCCTGATTTTACCACAGAGGCTTCAGATCAACTCCGATACAACCATAGAACAAGGAGAAATAGTCACTGAAACTGACATGCCACCATTAACGGGTACAACCATCATCGCCTTTAAACCTCTTTTTTTTTAAACCTTTTTTATGTGCTTATAGGAGAGAAATACTAACATATAAAATAAAAAAATATTAAAATTCTATTCATCTTCTGATGGCCGCACAGATGTTTAACATGACACTGCTCTTGTAAAACATATGTTACGTCAGGTTTTACTGCCTTTTGAAAATTTGTAAATTATAACCCTGAGTAAACTTATAATTTAATATGAAAGAAACTAAACTCAGAATTTAGAAACCCATTCAAGCAGAGCTCCACACTCTCCATGTACTGTACTCACTTTAGAGAATCACTTGTTTGTGTAAAGTATCTGACCTTCTCTCTGTCTTCATCAGCTCCTGGTTGTATGCCGGATGGTGTTTACCCACATGCGCTGCCTTCAGTCCCTCCAGAAACAACGTATGAAGAGGAGTGGGAAGTTTTTGATCCGTAAGTTAAAATTAATTTTGAGGGAGCTTATACCAACAATGGCTATTTTATTAAAACGAAGTATGAAGAGTATTTGTTGAATACAAATAAAAAAATCTAAATTTAGACTGCACTTTTGAAACAAACCTTCTATATATGTATAGCCTCATTTCCACGGTGACTTTGCATGTGAACAGACATTTGCAACACTAGATGGCAATAAAAATAAGACTTTTGATAGAATTTTATTTGTTTTTGTTTTAATATTTCACTAGTTCAAACATCTAAATACTTCTTTGAATATTTTCAGAACCCCGTAGTATTTAAATTGGAACACACATTTTCCATTTATTAAGTGAAGGAAAGGCAAACCCATTAAAAGATCACTCACATTAATACTTTGCATCCAGCCAGGATCACAGACACCATATTTTGTTCCAAATGTCTTTCCCTTTGTTTTGGTAAAATTAGTTGTTGTGTTTGTTTTCTTTGCTTCAAGGTACTTCTTTATCAAGCACGTGCCTCCACTGACAGAGGAGCAGTTAACACGTAAACCAGCGTTACCTTTGAAAACGCGCAGCACACCAGAGTTTTCTCTCGTCTTGGATCTGGTAAGCAGTGAGACATTTCTTGTACTGTTTTGCATATTAAACGGAAGTGGACTTCAATGGACTTTTCCTACACACTTTTTTCTTTTTTGTTTCTTTTGTCAGGACGAAACTCTGGTCCACTGTAGTTTGAATGAGCTAGAAGACGCATCCCTGACATTCCCTGTGCTCTTTCAGGATGTAATCTACCAGGTACAAACCCTCACTTGGCATTTCTCATCAAAATGTCTGTTTTCTTGCTGCTGTGTTTTTTAAGGTACTTTTTTATTCTCAAGGTCTATGTTCGGTTGAGGCCCTTTTTCCGAGAATTTCTTGAGCGAATGTCTCAAATGTATGAGGTGAGATGCAGCTTATATTTTCATCTGTTTACTCAAACCTCCTCTAAAGTGACGTATTATTGAGTGTGGCCAGCGAAGCTGAGCCAAACTCCTTGTAATCTCCCATACTTATTATTACTTCTGTATTATTCTCCTTCTGTACCAAAGTTGGGCATGCATCTCCTCCCGCACTATTGGTCGGAATTGCCTCAAAATAGAGAAAAAAGAGAAATGACAAAGAAAAAGTCTCCATAGCGCCCTAGAAATTCGAAAAGTACCACACTTGGTCAGTTTTTCCCCCCGATGCCCGATTGACTTGAAATGTGGCACACATGTGCTCTTGGACATGCTCTACAAAAAAGTCAATCATGATATGCAAATGCTCCTAACTCGATTTTCCGCCATTTTGAATTTTGTGAAAAACACGTTTTTGGCCATTTCTCCTAAACGCTATGTCCGATTGTCACGAAATTTTCTGTGGATCATTATTGGGTTAATGCCCCCCTGTTCCCCATTCGTATCGAATCATGTTGATATCTCATTGTTTTGAGAAGTTATGGGCTAATGAACTTCGCAAGGGCTGTGGCTTAATCTTGCAAGAGTCATAACTTCCAGATGGTTTGGCCTGCCATCACCAAACATGTGAACATTGAACCCCTGAACACACCCAATTCTTGTCAGAATATTTGAAGAATAGGAGGCGCTGCAATTAATTGTTGATTAAAATGTAGTCTCGTGCTCCATTAGAATGAATGGAGTGCAATGTGTGTGGGTAAAAGCCCCGTTTACTCTGCAGTTGTAGGGCTGTGTTGTTAGACCAGTGCTTAGGCATTCCACCCTAACTGTGGGGGACCCGGGATCGATTCCAACATGTCACTATGTTCTCTTTTTTTTCCGTTTTTAATGCAAGTCTAGCTGACGTTACAGTGGCGACGACGGCTGGGGAGGAGGGGGAGGGGGGGGGGGGGGTGCTAGCAGTGGCTAAAACAGCCAGAGAGAATCGAGTGGGGGAACAATACAGTCAACGGTGGGGGGGCAAGGCACGGACATTACGTCGGGGGGCGGGGCGACGATACGGCCGACGGCGGGGGGGCGTGACGCCAACATGGCTGTAGCTAGCATTGCATGTAGCTAGTATTGCACTAGTAACAGGACCCAACTGCTGACACGTGGCTAAAACAGCCAGAGAAAAATGGGTCATGTGCTTAGTTTGCTAGCTAGCCTTTGTGGCTACCCTTCTTTTGCCTGCTTGGCCGTTTCATGCACAGGCACCTGCGGGCAGAATAGGCCACACTCTTAATTTTCTAGTTGATTTATTGCTGTTGTCTATTACAATTTCAGATTATTCTCTTCACGGCTTCAAAGAAAGTGTATGCCGACAAGTTGCTCAACATCCTGGATCCAAAAAAACAGTTGGTGAGGTCAGTTACCAAAACTCTAAAGCAGCTTTTAAAGTAAATTATATTAATTTGACATCATGTTCAACTACAGCAAAGCAGGGTGAACATTTTGATCCATGATTTAGCAGGATTAAATTTGTTCTCCACTCGGCCGGGGAAAGAACCCATAGATGAACATCAAGTTTGTCAGTGGGACAAAGAAGTTTCTCAGTTTATTCCGTGTCAATCCGCCACATACACTTGTGCTTCTTGATCCTGTTCTCTGGTCGCTGAACCTCAGTCTTCAGCCGTGAATAAATGTGCGCTCTTAAATTTATCTGTGCTGTATTTTTTTTTGCTTGTTGATAAAAATTGATCAAATGAAGATCATTAACACTCTTTTTTTTAAATTACTCAAATCCTGGTTATATTACTAGTTCCTTTTATTGTCCTTAATCTCAAGAACTCGTTGAAGAGATGTCTTACTGCACATAATCTCACTTTTGTTCTGTCTTTCTGCTCTTGTTAGACATCGGCTGTTTCGTGAGCACTGTGTGTGTGTTCAAGGAAATTACATTAAAGACCTCAACATTCTCGGACGAGATCTTTCCAAGACGATAATAATCGACAACTCGCCCCAAGCCTTTGCCTATCAGGTAAGCCTGTCTTGTAACAGTAAAGCATGGTTTATGCTTCTGCGTTTTCAGAGCGACGCAGACACAAGCCCACCTTGCGAGTCCCTTGCGGCGCTTTTCACACCTCCTTGCGTCCTTGCGTGTGTCGAGCCATTTTTCTAGGCTTGCGTCGAAAGCAACGCAAGCCTCCCGCAGCGCACCAGGCTGCAATTGGTCCGTTAACTACGTCCTTTACGGAGTCTCATATTTCCGCCCGATACCGCCATTATTAAAACCAAGAATGTTTACGAGAGAACGGATCAGATTTAAGAACTTTTGTCGGAAGAAATGCGTAAATATGACCGCTTCTACAAGCCGTCATTGGCGGGTTGTAGAAGCGGGTTGGATTCACGGAGGGAGATCTCCGCAAACGCCGGTTTGCCGGTCGAGAGGAACAAAGTTGTGGAGGAAAATACGGGACAAATGTGTCCGCGATGAAAAGCAGCAGTGGCGATGCACGGGGCAATAAAGTCTATGATAAATAAATAAATAAATAGACGTGACTCTCTAGGTCGTCTTCAACAAAAACACGTCACTCCGCCTGTTGTTTTGGCGGTGAACTGCTCTGCAACACACGCAGAACCATGAATTGAAACGAGTGCGTCGACGCAATGACGCAGACGCATGCGCCGGCCTTAAAGACAAATGATCTAATAATGATCCTGTGTGATGCAAGGTCATGGATTTTGTCTGTTTTGTAGCTTTCCAATGGAATTCCTATTGAGAGCTGGTTTGTGGATAGAAATGACAATGAGCTCCTGAAGCTTGTTCCTTTCCTCGAGAAGCTTGTGGAGCTGGTATGTATCTCGACTTCTGTCTATTTAGACCGAATGAAGTGCTGCGACGCTGCTGGTGAAGTGTATATTTGGGGGTCGATAATCTTTGGTGACACACTGCGTTTAAAATGGTAGCGTAGTAATGTACTGTGTGCGTGTGTAATATGGACTACACATTACTTTTACTCATGGCCAAAATCGTTGCCATCAACACTGAACCGAAAAGTCCACTTTCTTGTAGTTTTTTCTTTTCATCTGATGTCACTTATTCACAGAATGAAGATGTCAGGCCGCACATCCGAGAGCAGTTTCGTTTACACAACCTCCTTCCTCCGGACTGACCGTGCGTTCGTCTCTAAGCTCAAGATGTTATCAACATTGAAAGAGGAAAAAAAGATCCTACAACAACGTACGCAGAACAATTGAACAGAATTCAATTTGCAAACATTGCCATGGTTATTTTTGAAATTGTGTAAAACATTGAAAGTACACACACTCTCATATAAACACACACATACACACTCAAACCAGATTCGGAAAAATACGATGTGCCCACTGCGGCAGACGTTTCACTTGTTTGTTTCTAGCACGACTCTGAAGGCTGGAAGGTATTTTGTCTTTTGAGAACCATTCTGGATTAGCAAAACTGAATGTTATGCCGTGGATCTAATTTACATGGTCAGCCTGACTGTGACACACTCAAACCTGTATACCGTATATTCCGGACTATAGAGCGCGCCTGAATATATGCTGCACCACCTAAATTTAGAACGGCATGTCAACGCCAGTGACGTGCGGTCACTGGAGGCAGTGCCTCCCCTTGTGTCATCATGAAATGTGAAAAAAGAATGATTAAAAAAAAATATATATTTTTTTCCACTGATCTGTGATAGAAGTGTAACTATTAGATTCCAATCACTCTGATGATTGTTATAGTCAAAATTGCTGAATTTGTATATCTTCAGCAAACGAGCTGTGCCTCCTCTCGGATTGCGCAATCCCTCATAAACCAGATTGAGCTGCTCATGTTTTTGCTCATTTTGAGCACGTGCAATTAATGTCTCTATATGTCACCAATGTAATGTTTGTACACAGTTTTATCACATGTCCTCACATCCCATTGTCTGGGTCCTGCATTTCACATATGTTAGTCTTGCTAATCTGACATAACGGCGCAGTTAAAAAGCAGTGAGGAGGCAGCTGGATTGGAGCCTCCTTCCTGCTTGTCACTGCTGTGGAGGCGGAGTCAGTACCTCTGCCTGCCTGAAGGGGGCGTGGTGAGCACGCAGGCTCGTTCCGCTGTTGTTTTTCTTCACGTAGTACAGACTGATAGCATAGTTAGCATGTGCTAGCTAAAACAGTCAAGTAGCGAACGTCAAGTGCACATTAACAGTCCTTGAAAACTGAAAACATGCAGTCTGAATCGGACCAAAGATGAATTTCAAACCGAGCAATAATGTCTATTGAGACAAAGAGACTGTTGAAACTAAAAAAAGATGAAGAGGACTTTCACACCAAAGTGATAGAGATGTTTTTGCAGAAGGTTAGGCCAATGGACAAGTAAAGGTAAGAGCATGCAGGCACTGCTGTACACGACAACAATAAAAGACCAGCCCTATTTTTAATAATATTTAAAAAATATAAAAGAACATTTAAACAGAACAGTTAAGCAATAAGGTACGCGGGGCTTTACCTTATCGTCAATAATGCACTGTTCAAGGGTGTTGGCCAACCATATTGCTTTAGGTTGTTTGTGACACTATTACTAAGTAAATAGCCTTTCAGTACAAAACAAATTGTAGCCACCAAACGTTGGGTTTCGCATTTCAGTGACCTACAGAAAATCCTCGTACTGCTGTTACTATGCAACAGACAAACAGCATAGTTAGTTGATGATTAGCAAGGAGATCGACATTTATTTGTGTGTCTCATTCATTCCTACACCTGAGTTGTCTTCTTTGGCTAAATCGGTTGCGAAAGCTTGCATTTCCCAAAACTTTGCTCCGATCGCCACCGATCTAAAAACTGAAATGACAACTAACTGTCGCGCAAAATCCAGCTGTTATTTTGATCACTGCACTGATATGAACGCTCAGGTCGATGTAAACAGGTAACATATTATGTCTCAATTCAGTACACCCTGTGACTCACTCCCAAACAATCAGAACGCTTGATTTCATCTGCCCCGTATTATAAAAGAATATACGATACAGATATGAAACATAACCAGTAGTCGAAGTGCAAGCAGCCAGTTGAATGGTGAATTTATATATTTGTGAATGTGACTCCCAGCCACGAACCTCACCGCACGTCACTGGTGCACGTAGCCAAAAAACATCCGTGCCGGAGTTCTTCACGTCTCCAACGTCTCACAATTCATTAGTGGTTTATGTGCAGCCGCTCTGTTTCCTTCTCCGACAGACAGATTGGTTGCCCATAACTTGCAACTGTCTGTCTCGCTCTCGCTCTCTCGTCCGGAATTTTACGGTAATATTAACCCAATATACTTGTACATTTCTGTACATAGTTGTTTGTTTTTTAAGGGTTTTATGTCAGTTTAATTTCCTTTCTGATTTTAGTATGTATTCTTTGATTCGGTTGCTTTTATAAAACCAACAAAGTGTTAGTGTATTTTGTTTGAAGTGGTTCATAAGCAGCTGCTTTTCTGTGGTATGCCTGCATTATTCCTGTGATGCTTTAATCCATTACATGCAGCTGTGTAATAGGGGCTGTTTTAAAGAAAATGGGTTAGGGTTGGTATGTTTCTGAAACAATATTTTAAAACAAGGTAATGTAAGCTAGACTTTGGTCTCAACTGAATACAAAGCCATAATGGCTGAATTTTAAATTTGGAGATTTGTATTTGATAGTACATTGGGAGAGGGGGTTTGGGTTCTGGCATCTTGCACTTTGACATCCAGCCCTTTGTAACTTTATGTAAAATCTTGTCACTTTTCTACACGGGTGTGAATCGCCTCAATTTGTTATGTGGGTGGAAGAGAATGAACTCGTAGCACCAGCAAATTGCCAACATTGTTTACTTTGAATTCTGTTTTCCAAGTCTTGTATGTGGGATTTTTATGATGTGGGAGTCAAAACTTTTAATGACTAATGAATGATCACTTCTGTTGTATTCGGTGTTACTCAATGGTTTCCTTGAAAATAAATGCATTTTTATACAACTCACACAGTGCTGAACCTTATTTATTTAAAGTGTAATGGAAGTCGCTTTGGATAAAAGCGTCTGCTAAATGACCTGTAATGTAATGTAATGTCATTGCCTGATTGTAGGTGTGCACTGAATGGCCCCTCCCAGAGGTCATGTCACTCCAAAAACAAAGGGGGGCAGTCTTCATCACACTTATCCCATAGGTGTTCAAAAGGAAATTATTTCAAAACAAAATCAGACTGTTCATAGTGTGGAAATAACACATGGGGCCAGTTACCTGTGTATTTCGAGTGAAACCCCCCCTCTTCCCTCATCTATTGTCTGCTGGAAGGGAGGGCGATGGGGGGGGTTGTGGCTCATTTATTTATTATTATTGATTTAATTTATTTTGAAAAAGATGGCAAGTTAATAAACCTTTTGAAACAGCTGTTTTTAACAGCAGAATCACAATGTATAAATATTCTCTTCGAAGTAAAGGTCCTGTGTACAATATATCAAAGCACCGTCAGAGGAATGTACTTAAAGTACCCATCATGGATTAGAACTGCTTCTGCAGTATTTCATTTATTAGGTCATCATACTAATATTAAAAAAGGAAGATGCATTTAAATGTATTAGCTGACTGTGTTGTTTACTGTGGGAAATGTGAGGCTACAGCAATGCATTGTGTGTTTTTTAAATGTCTTGTGAATAACAAATAACTAAAAGTCAGTAAAAAATAAAAGACATTCCCTTGCAAAATCGGTATAATAGATTGTCATTGAATGTGGTAAATCCTGTTCATGAGACTAATAGTGTGCTCAGGGCTTCCTTTGATTCATTACACTACATTACATTACATGTCATTTAACTGACGCTTTTATCCAATTGACAATTGACTTACAATAAGTGCATTCAACCATAGAGATACAAACTGAAGAGAACAAGAAACAATTATTTTCCTCAAATAAGCCAATTTCCAATTTGCTATAGATGAGTGGCGCTATAAGTACAATTTAAGTGCTACAATTTGTTTGTCTTTTAGTCGAGGTAGAGTCTGAAGAGGTGTGTCTTTAGTCTGAAGATGTGAAGGCTCTCTGTGGTCCTGGTGTCTTCAGAGAGCTCGTTCCACCATTTAGGAGCAAGACAGAAAAGAGTTGTGATCTAGTCGAGTGTTTTGCTCTCAGTGAGGGAGGGACGAGCAGTTTATCAGATGCAGAGCGGTGTGCGGGTTGGGATGTCGGGTTTGACCATGTCCTGGATGTAAGCTGGACCCGATCCATTCACAGCATGGTACGTGAGCACCAATGTTTTGAACTAGATGCGGGCGGCCACCGGTACCAGTGAAGAGAGCGGAGGAGTGGAGTAGTGTGGGAGAATTTCGGAAGGTTGAAGACCAGTCGAGCTGCTGCATTCTGGATGAGCTGCAAAGGTTGAATGGCGGTAGTGGGGAGACCTGCCAGGAGGGAGTTGCAGTAGTCCAGGCGTGAGATGACAAGAGCCTGAATCAGTACCTGGGCAGCCTTCTGATTGAGAAGAGGACGTATTCTCCTGATGTTGTAGAGAGTATCTACAGGATCGTGATGTTGGGAGTCAGGGAGAGTTGGCTGTCAATTGTGACGCCGAGGTTCCTAGCGGTTAAAGTGGGCGTTAACACGGAGTTGCCAAAGTTGACTGTCAAGTCCTGGGTCGGGGAGAGTCTTTTCCTGGAAAGAGAAGTAGTTCAGTCTTGTCAGGGTTGATTTTTAGATGGCGGGCGGACATCCACTGTGAGATGCCAGTCAGACAGGCAGAAATCCGCGCCGCCACCTGGGTGTCCGAGGGAGGGAAGGAGAGAATTAGTTGTGTGTCATCGGAGAATTTAGGAAGGTTAAAGACCAGTGGAGCTGCTGCATTCTGGATGAGCTGCAAAGTCGAATGACGGTAGCAGGGAGACCAGCAGGAGAGAGTTACAGTAATCCAGGAGGGAGATGACAAGAGCCTGAATCATTACCTGGGCAGCCTTCGAGTGATTAAAACGTTTCTGCTAAAAGTTAAGCCATAATTGTTGGAATGCATTAAGCATTCCAAGTATTGTTCTTCAAATCTTTATTGTTGGAATGCATTAAGCATTCCAAGTATTGTTCTTCGAATCTGCCAGGCATCTTTCTCTCCAACGTGCGCTCACTGTGCAAAAAACTGGACGAAATTCAGCTGCTGATGAGGAGAGACAGAGACTTCTCTACATCCTCCGTCTTGTGCTTCACGGAGACGTGGCTCTGCGGATCGATACCGGACTCTCCGGCAAGACAAAGGGTGGAGGAATCTGCTTCTATTTCAACAACAGCTGGTGCAACGACGTAACGGTGATCCTAAAACACTGTTCTCCTGATCTGGAAACTTTTTTCATCAACTGCAAACCCTTTTATTCTCCCCGTGAGTTCGCTTCATTCATCCTGGTCGGTGTTTACATGCCGCCGGCGGGCAACGTGCACGAGGCACAGCGGACACTTGCCGACCAGATATGGCGTGTGGAGCGGACCAACCCGGACTCTTTAGTTATTGTCCTCGGGGACTTTAACAAAGGAAATCTCACCCATGAACTTCCTAAATACAGACAGTTTATTAAATGCCCCACCAGAGAGGAGAACACGCTGGATCACTGTTACACCACAGTAAGCAGGGCTTATCACGCCGTCCCTCGTGCTGCACTGGGACACTCTGACCACGTCATGGTCCATCTGATTCCTGCATACAGGCAGAAACTAAAGCTCTGCAAACCTGTGGTGAGGGAATTCAAGAAGTGGACCAGTGAGGCGCTGGAGGATCTTCGGGCGTGCTTTGACTGCACAGACTGGGATGTTTTCAGGACTGCTACTGACAGTCTGGATGAGTTCACAGAGGCTGTAACTTCCTACATCGGCTTCTGTGAGGACAGCTGTGTACCATCATGCACCAGGGTGAGTTACAACAACGACAAACCCTGGTTCACAGCGGAACTCAGAACACTACGCCTGCAAAAGGATCAGGCATTTAGGAGTGGGGACAAAGACTTGTACACAGAGGCAAAATACAAGTTTAGCAAGGCGGTGAGAGATGCTAAACGACTGTACTCTGAGAAACTCAAACAACAGTTCTCAGCAAGTGACTCTGCTTCGGTTTGGAGAGGCCTCAAACACCTCACCAACTACAAGCCAAAAACCCCCCACTCCATGAATGACCTCCGCCTGGCAGACGAGCTGAATGAGTTCTACTGCAGATTTGAAAGACAATGCCTGATCCCATCCACCACAGGTCCACCAACCTGCTGCAGTCCCCCTCCCCTCCCTCCACCAGCCCATCAGGTGCTCACGCCTCTTCATCTATATCACCTTCCCCTCCCCCACCAGCAAGGACCCTCTCTATTCTGGAGTGAGACGTTAACCGGCTCTTTAGAAGACTAAAGCCCCGTAAGGCAGCCGGTCCCCTCACTCCCTGAAGCATTGTGCTGACCAGCTGTCTCCGGTGTTCACTGACATCTTCAACACCTCCCTGGAGACATGCCACGTACCAGCCTGCTTCAAGGCCTCCACCATCATCCCTGTTCCCAAGAAGCCCAGGATCACAGGACTTAATGACTACAGGCCCGTCGCCCTGACCTCTGTTGTCATGAAGTCTTTTGAACGGCTAGTCCTGACCCACCTGAAGTCCCTCACCGACCCCCTCCTGGACCCCCTGCAGTTCGCCTACAGAGACAACAGGTCTGTGGACGATGCTGTCAACATGGCCCTCCACTACATCCTCCAGCATCTGGACTCCCCAGGAACCTACACCAGGATCCTGTTTGTGGACTTCAGCTCTGCTTTCAACACCATCATCCCGTCTCTGCTGCAGGACAAACTCTCCCAGCTGCACGTGCCCAACTCCACCTGCAAGTGGATCATAGACTTCCTGTCTGACAGGAAGCAGCACGTGAAGCTGGGGAAACATGTCTCAGCCTCTCGGACCATCAGCACCGGTTCCCCCCAAGGCTTCGTTCTTTCCCCTCTGCTCTTCTCCCAGTACACCAACAGCTGCACCTCCAGCCACCAGTCCGTCAAGCTCCTGAAGTTTGCGGATGACACCACCCTCATTGGACTAATCTCTGGTGGGGACGAGTCCACCTACAGGTGGGAGTCTGACCATCTGGTGTCGTCGTGCAGTCAGAACAACCTGGAGCTCAACGCTCTAAAGACAGTGGAGATGGTTGTGGATTTCCGGCAGAACAGAGCCCCACCCTTCCCCATCACCCTGTGTGACTCCCCCGTCACTATTGTGGATTCCTTCCGTTTCCTGGGCTCCATCATCACCCAGGACCTCAGCTCCATCACAAAGAAGGCTCAGCAGAGGTTGTTCTTCCGGAGGCAGCTGAAGAAATTCAACCTGCCAAAGACGATGATGGTCCACTTCTACACGGCCATCATCGAGTCCATCCTCTGCTCCTCCATCACCGTCTGGTACGCTGCAGCCACAGCCAAGGACAAGGGCAGGCTGCAGCGTGTTATCCGCTCTGCAGAGAGGGTGATCGGCTGCAATCTGCCGTCCCTGCAGGACTTGTTCGCTTCCAGGTCTCTGAAGCGTGCTAAAAAGATTGTGGCCGACCCCTCTCACCCCGGACAAAAACTGTTTGTGCCCCTTCCATCTGGCAGGAGGCTGAGGTCCATCAGGACTAAGACCTCCCGCCACACGAACAGTTTCTTCCCGTCGGCAGTCGGGCTCATCAACAGAGCCCGGTCCCCCACTGACTGACTATAACATTCCACCGGTCACTCCCCTTCACACTGCACATGCCACTTTAACTGCAATTCAACACTTTGTCGTCACTCGGCACTTTGTTACTTGTCTGTTGCTTGTTCGTTAGTGCACTTTATGCTTAATATTTTTCTTTTTAACTTTTTAATATTTAAAATTTTTAACTTTATTCCCTTGTTTTATACTAATCCATATCCTTATTCTACTAACCCATTGCATTAGCATTTCATTCTACTTTATTTTATTACTTGTGCACTGTTGTCTTGTCTGTCTACTGTCGCGCACTAAC